CCCGAGAGCGGTAAAACAGGAAGAGAAGGAGCCGGACTGATGGACCTATGTACATACACTCACCTAAAGGATTATTAGGAACACCATACTAATACTGTGTTTGACCCCCTTTTGCCTTCAGAACTGCCTTAATTCTACGTGGCATTGATTCAACAAGGGGCTGAAAGCATTTTTTAGAAATGTTGGTCCATAATGATAGGATAGCATCTTGCAGTTGATGGGAGATTTGTGGGATGCACATCCAGGGCACGAAGCTCCCGTTCCACCACATCCCAAAGATGCTCTATTGGGTTGAGATCTGGTGACTGTGGGGGCCATTTTAGTACAGTGAACTCATTGTCATGTTCAAGAAACCAATTTGAAATGATTCGAGCTTTGTGACATGGTGCATTATCCTGCTGGAAGTAGCCATCAGAGGATGGGTACATGGTGGCCATAAAGGGATGGACATGGTCAGAAACAATGCTCAGGTAGGCCGTGGCATTTAAACGAAGCCCAATTGGCACTAAGGGGCCTAAAGTGTGCCAAGAAAATATCCCCCACACCATTACACCACCACCACCAGCCTGCACAGTGGTAACAAGGCATGATGGATCCATGTTCTCATTCTGTTTACGCCAAATTCTTACTCTACCATCTGAATGTCTCAACAGAAATCGAGACTCATCAGACCAGGCAACATTTTTCCAGTCTTCAACTGTCCAATTTTGGTGAGCTCTTGCAAATTGTAGCCTCTTTTTCCTATTTGTAGTGGAGATGAGTGGTACCCGGTGGGGTCTTCTGCTGTTGTAGCCCATCCGCCACAAGGTTGTGCGTGTTGTGGCTTCACAAATGCTTTGCTGCATACCTCGGTTGTAACGAGTGGTTATTTTAGTCAAAGTTGCTCTTCTATCAGCTTGAATCAGTCGGCCCATTCTCCTCTGACCTCTAGCATCAACAAGGCATTTTCGCCCACAGGACTGCCGCATACTGGATGTTTTTCCCTTTTCACACCATTCTTTGTAAACCCTAGAAATGGTTGTGCGTTAAAATCCCAGTAACTGAGCAGATTGTGAAATACTCAGACCGGCCCGTCTGGCACCAACAACCATGCCACGCTCAAAATTGCTTAAATCACCTTTCTTTCCCATTCTGACATTCAGTTTGAAGTTCAGGAGATTGTCTTGACCAGGACCACACCCCTAACTGCATTGAAGCAACTGCCATGTGATTGGTTGATTAGATAATTGCATTAATGAGAAATTGAACAGGTGTTCCTAATAATCCTTTATGTGAGTGTATATGGGTGAAGCTCACGGAACCAGTCAAGAACATGTCAACTGGGTCATATTTCACACTGAAACCAAAATTAGATATTATTTGCATAAAGAAAATGAAACAATTTCTTGATTTCTTGATTACTGTACATGTAAAAAAAAAAAAAAACCCTACTAAAAACAGTTTTTGTCCATTTATGTCAAATAATTCACACAAATTTTCGTCTGAATAAAATCAGTGTCAAATACAAAACAAAACTCTTAAAGTGCCCCTTTTATGGTGTTTTAAAGGTTCCAGTGGCCCAGTCGCTTGTGATTGGTCTACTCTGCTCTGATTGGTCAGATGGCCCAGTCTGTTGTGATTGGTCTACAGCTTATAAAGTGTGTTGGAAACGAAACACCCATTAACCATATCTGAATTTCAGCTCCAGATCTCCCTGATCGCTTGATACACAGTGACACGAACATTAACGATGGCATTGGTTTTACCATATCAAATTAAGCCAGAGTCATCATCCTTTGGAAGTGCATGAAAAGTGGATTAGCTTTCTCAGCAAAGAAAACAGCATCTTCTCGACATGTCAACAACACGAACCAAACCCTTCAAGGTCGCAGCTACAACAGTGTTTCAGGACGGGTCAAAGTAGACGTTGTTCGAGAGCAGCCAATGAAGACCATAGGCTGGGAATGGGATTATGCAAATTTGTTACAAACCTACGTAGGTTTGTGCAGGAAGTGAGACTGAGGTTACTGACGACACGTTTCAGGCAATTCAGAATCAGATTTTTCTTTTTGGGAGACAATAACTCCATTTATCAGGCACTTCGATCTTTGAAACTTTGCAGACCTTCTACATTTACAAACAGCTATACAACACAGTACATGAAAGGTAATATCCAGAGCCATAGAGAGAAAGAGTTGCAACACGCTTTGATGTCGCCGCGACGGCTGTCACGTGGTTCATGTAAGCCCCAATAGTTCCAAAACGTACGCGGGCTGTCATGTTCTTCTATGGACAGACAGCAGCGATTGCATTATTAAACGGTAAATATAAAATAAAACACACACCCAAGTACTTTTTCAGCTGTTATTGCATTTTGTTAATGTCAGTTTTGCATTTGGAGAGGCAGGGTGACAACTTAGATAAGTTTTAGGCTATATTTTTGGAGGGAAAAGCTTAGTGTTCATGTTCGCATGGGTAGTAGCTGGCTTTAGCGGCTCTAACTTAACTTTTCCATGTCATTCATCTGATGATGGACGTCTCATGATATTTATTTTAGCACAACTGGGCTGTATTAGGCTATTGATTTTCGTGATCTTGCTTATAAATTCCGATTCAGCCATTAGCCTACCTTCGTGATCACGCAAAGAGGTCTGCAGTCCGTTCAGAACTCCAACCAACATAAAATATAAATAATTACGCACGCTGTGCATGTACAAATGAATGATTTAGGAGGGAAATAGACTGCTCCCATAACGTAGAAAGCAACGATATATACAGCAATGTTCGGTAAATATTCAACCGAAAAATATTCTTCATAAAATTAAACCGGAGAGATAGTTAATGAGTGAATTAACTATGTTCCTAAATACATATAAGCACATATATGCATAACCGTAACCCATTTAAATAAATGAATTGTGTGTGTGTGTGTGTGTGTGTGTGTATGTATATATTATATTATATATAGGCTAACGTTATATATATATATATATATATATATATATATATATATACATACATACATATAAAATATTATTAAAAATATGATATATTATATACATCAGTTACGTAAGTTAGCTAACGTTAGTGAGGTGTTGGTCACGTAAGCTATAGCTGCAATTAACCTATTATCTTCCAAAAAACATTTACTAAAACTGGCTACATAAAATATAACTACAGACTAGATTCACGAGAGGTCGGCTAATGTGTGTAAAAGTAAAACAATACAGTAATTTCATTAATTTACCAGCGAGCGTACTTCGGAAGCACTGAAAATGAATGGGGTTCAATGGAGAAATTATCAGTGTTTGGAACTATTGGCCGCTCCACGACACGCGTTACTTCCGCATTCCAAAGTTCCTATGGCGGTCTATGGGAGTGTCGCAACTCTTTCTCTCTATGGCTCTGGTAATATCCAAAAACAGCATAATAGGAGCACTTTAATAGTCTATAATATAATCAGGGTAATACAATTGAGTATGAAGCTGAATCTGAATGGAGGCCTTTACTTGGGTAAAAGGGGTATTTGAAGGTATGGGGACACTGAAATAAAGACTTTCACATTTCATGACATGTTCTGAATAAACAAATAAAGCCCTCATAAGTGTTGAAGTCGCCCCACACACAAACAGCAGCACATTAAAATGACATACAGACATACATAAACATAAGGAAGACACCACTATCACAGGACTGAAATAGGGCTGGATTCATTTATCATAAGCGATTCACCATGGCTTGCCATCTACTGTATCTATACATTCATTTCACTGAACTCGAATTGGCAGGTTTAGATTAAGTTTCCTATGTTAATGTAAACATTACAAACAAGCTATATCTGGAATACAGTACATTATTATACACGTAGGTTGTGCTAAAATAAAGTAGGTGTCCTTGACTCAATTACCCAATTTCCAACTCTAGATCTCTGCAATTCCCTATTCCCAACTCTGCACTCAACTATGTTAAGAATGGTTCTCATCTAAAAGTTTAGGCATGAATAGAAAATACAAGAAGTATTTGTGTATGCAATATATTGTAGCTACCATATACAGTAAGACTGGTTTTCACTGCTGGTCCTGGGGAGCCACCTCTCTGCACATTTTGTATGTCTCCCTTAACTGAGACACTCAGGCTGTGTCCGAAATCGCCCCCTGTATACTTAAATAGGGCACTATTTGAGGGGACAGCCATTTGTAGTGGTGTCCGAAACCATAGTGGACGTTATCAAGTGCAATCATCCAATCCCACAATGCACCACAATAATGAGTGTACAACCGATGTACGCTCAATGGCTAGACAATACTCATAATCCATAATGCTCCAAAAGATGGCGTCCACAGCTGAATCATCCATCCATCCGTTTTCCAAACTGGTCCAATGTGGCTACAGCGTAATATCATACAGGTATAAATTCCTTTTTAATTGATTATTAAATTGTTTAATTTCCATGGCAGAGTTCAAGATATATCTTTTAATTACTACTGGAGCTGCCAGTTTGCTGAGTTTCAATATTGACAGCAAGCAAAAATTGCGCAAAAGTGGCAGCCTTTCCGGCGCACTCAGTGTCCGAATTCACTCACTTGATTTTATTCACTCCTTCAAGCGGACTATATTAGTGGACTAATGTAGGGATAGTGAATGAGGGTATAGGGGTGATTTCGAACACAGCCTCAGTTCAGGAGCTCTCACCTAATGAGCTGATGATCTGAATCAGGTGTGTTAAATAAGGGAGGCATACAAAAATGTGTGAGGTGAGTTCACGCCATGTCGTGATTCCCATAATTACGAGATGTCAACTCGTAATCATCCTCGTGGAGCACGTAATCACAACTTTTTCTGAGAGCTCCTACTTGTACCAAATTTAGGAGTTGAGTTCGAGTCCGAAGACGTGAACAGTTCCAAGTAGAACGAAGTTACGCTAATTGCGGCATGGCGTGAATGCAGCATTGGTCCCCAGGACCAGGATTGAAAACCATTGGTATAAGAGACAGTTGGCTGCCATGGCGACTAGAGTTTACCTGAGGTCCGTCTCTGAGACCGTCCTCTGGGCCACGCCCTCTTCAGACTCCTCCCGCTCTGCTTCCTCTTTGTCTACGCTACTTGTCTGTCTCCTCAGCTTTCCTGCCCTCCCCCCTCCTCTCTTCCTCACTCTGTCCTCCTCTAACCCTCCCTCCTCCTGTTCCTCCTGTAACCCCTCCCCCTCCCTGGAGAGACTCCGCCCCTTGCTGTGGGCGTGGCCAGCAGAGGTGCAAGCAGCATGCAGAACAAAAATGAAGCACAGTGAAAATAGGTGTCAAAACTACCTGAATGTAAACCATAAAGGAAGAATGAATGAATGACAACACATCAAAATAATGCAATGCAAACAGTAATAACAACAGAAGCCAGACAGTATGCACATAAAACAGAACAAAATTGTGTTTCATCGCAGAACTAAAATATACACACCCTAGCATGTTAAATGGGAGTGCACTAGCTTGCCGGTGATTATTTACTAGTATTTCAGTAAAACTGTTTGTGTTCACTGGCACGGAGTGAGCGGATTATGCAAATGTCGGATGACGGCCAATCAAAAGTTTCAGGTTGGTACATTTTTTAAAATGTTTTTAAAGTCTCTTATTTTGTCACAAATACAGTAAAAACAGTAATATTGGGAAATAGTATTACAATTTAAATTAACTGTTAACTAATTTAATATATTTTAAAATTAAAATGTATTTTTGTGACGGCAAAGCTGAATTTTCAGCATCATTACTCCAGTCTTCAGTGTCACATGATCCTTCAGAAATCATTCTAATATGCTGATTTGGCAATCAAGAAACGTTCTTATCATTATCAAATGTTAAAAACAGTTGTGCTGCTTCAAATTTTTTAGGAAACCATGATACTTTTTTTCAGCATTCTTTAAATTATTTATTTATTTTTAAATTTTTAAAACTTCAGTAACTTCTTAATACTGTCAGTTTTGATCAATTTACTTTATACTTGCTTAAGGGATAGTCAAAATTCATTAATAGTCATTAATTACTAACCCCCATGTCGTTCCAAAACCTGTAAGACTTTCGTTCATCTTCGGAACACAAATGAAAATCTTTTTAATGAAATCTGAGAGCTTTCTCCATTGACAACCGTGCAACTACAACTTTGACGCTTTACAAAAGATCATAAAGAGATCATAAAACTAATCCATATGAATTGAGCGGTTTAGTCCAAATTTCCTAAAGAGACTCGATCGCTTTATATGATGAACAGATTAAATTTAGGCTTTTATTCACATATTTAAACATTGTTTAGCGAACAGAAACAGAAGCTCAACCGAACCTGCTTGGGACATTTTCCAAAGCGCTGGTCCAATGTGGGTACAGCGTTATATCATACAGGTATAAAATCCTTTTTAATTGATTATTAAATTGAGGTTTGTTCTTGCGGAAGCTCAAACGTGATTCGTAACTCGAGAATTAACCTCATTGGTTCCCACATGTCAAGCGAACATGATTGAGCTTCTGTTTACCACAACTGATGTGTGAGTTGAAGAATGTTTGAATGAAAGTCTAAATTCAATCTGTTCATCATATAAAGCGATCGAGTCTCTTCAGAAAATTTGGACTAAACCGCTCAATTAATATGGATTAGTTTTACGAACTCTTTATGATTGTTTTGAAGAGTCAAAGTTGTAGTTGCGTATATAGCTGTCAACGGAGGGGAAAAAAATCACTCAGATTTTATTAAAAAGATCTTCATTTGTGTTCCGAAGATGAACGAAAGTCTTACGGGTTTGGAACGACATGAGGGTGAGTAATTAATGACAAAATATTCATTTTTTGGTGAACTAACCCTTAAATAAAAGTATTAATTTTTTTAAGTCTTACTGAATACCAAACTTTCGAATGGTATTGTACATTTAATTGAAACTATATGAAACCTAAGCATTCAAAATGTATGCATTCATCATGCATGACAATTTGTTAAAACTATTCATATAAAGACAACCTGCTTACTGTACATTTTACAGACACACCCCAAAGAAAGTGTTTTGTATAAATACATAATAAAGAGTGGATTTCTTCCATGCCAGTGGACACATAGAGTTAGTGGTTTGGCACCAAACTCACCTAAACAAAAGCAAACCTTGAACGCACTCGGACCCACATAATGAGGAACCCTACAGAGATGCTGTTTCTCTCAGGCCACGAACACACTGCAGCTAAAGAAGATCATCACTCCTCTTATGAGTGTTTAATCCTGTTCTGTACACAGCAGGTATTTATAGGAGTGAGAGCCTCATTTTATAACCAAATGTACACTTGAAACATTTAGATATGAGAAATGTTCTTTTTACTCCCCCCATCCGCTTAATGTGCAATATAGTCATAATTTTTATTATTATCAAATTCTTGACAAAAACCACCCACTTAGACTAGACTGTTTGATTGACAAGGAAAGTGTTTTTAGAAGCCACTATGGGCCAGATTTACTAACTTGGTAGATTGCATTGGTCATTATGGAAATTATATGCTTCATCTTTGTTCTTTAAATTTAATTCAACTTTCTTAAAATTCAAATTTCTGCATATGCATACTTAATTCAAATTTAATTGGAATCTATAAACGGCATTCTCAATTAATTTCTGAAATGTGCAAAATTTTGGTAAATATGCCTATGTTTCCAGGTGAAGCCAGTCGATCTGATTGGAACTGCTGGTTTTTGGATAGTGCCTGCCAGTTATGTGTGCAAGATGTGTGAACGCTAACAGACGGTGTGTGGTAAATGGGCACGCCATCTGAGGCTGAGACTAAACATACATAAATTTGGTGCCTCTGTCGACACTGGTTTACTAACAACTGCCAGATGATAATATGTTTCCAGCAGTATTGTTATTGTTACCTAAAACTAAATCTAAAACTATTACTTTTTTTTAGATTTTAAATTTAGAAATAAATCTGAAATAAAATACAAATATTAGATGAAATGAAAGGAAAAACTTAGAAATTATGCATTAGCAACTAAAAATAAAAATATATTAAAGGTACAGTAAATAGAAATATAAAAAAACAAAACTAATAAAAAGGACAAAAGCACAAGTTCGACAAGGAGAGGAGCTCGAACACATACCAGTAGAAGATTCTCTTTCTCTCTTTTGTTGGATGTATTCCTTATCAACACGACAATCATGTTATGATGTTTCATATTATTATACTGTTTTTGGATAATGTTGCATTTATATTCTTGATGATTATGAAAAAAACATTTTGAATAATTATATTATATTGTATTTTTAAAAATAATTTCAGCATAATTTGTGTACAAAATGTTTGTATTTGTATTTTTTTGTGCAGTATGTATGTTAGTTTTTATACCATTAAGGTGTGTGTTTTTAAATCAACATTTTGAGTTTACTTTATATGGTAAAAAATGTATATAAATATAATCAGGTGTGCTATTTTCTGTTATGACACTGATGACAACATGAATCAAAAACGTTTTGTCTTTGCTTTTGGCATCTAAATAAAGTATTTTTTGTAAGAAATCTACTATTATGTGTGTGATCTCCACTCCTTGCTGAACCTTGATGTTTTTTTTTTACGTATGCAACAAAGTCATTTTTATCTACTAACTTAAATTAGTATTTGACACGGACATTCTATGGATTTTTTTCTGTTTGTTCTGTTTTTAAAAGCACATAACAAAACTAATAAAACAAAATATAAAAACTAAAAACATAAAAATAAAAGCTACTTAAAAATAGTAATAAATACTATAATAGTATATACATGATACTAAAATAACCCTGGTTTCCAGACTCTAACATTAGTTTGGTCAAACCCATGTTACTTGTTTACAGCCATGAGACGAAGTAATTCACTCCTGCAAATAAATGCAGTTGTCACTCACAAAACTTTGCAGTTTGTACATGGCCTCAAAGAACACACATAAGGAGCACCCACTGTAGATTGTTCCTCAACTGAACTATACCGCACAGGTTTGACAGTGATCAGACTTCTCACCTGATCTTCCGGCTGCCCCGCGGCCGTTCTGATTGGACAGAGATGTAGCTCATGCTGCTGAATCGAGATGCACTGCTGGTTCTCGACACAGCGGACACGTCGCTGACATCACTGTCCGAAGACTTGGCCGAGAGGTTTTCTCCCCGCTGAGGATCTCTGCCTGAACGCTGAAGAACAAACACAGCACACGTTAGATGCTTACGGACAACAAATAGAACAAAACTAGTCACAGCGGTTAAAGGTGAAGTGGCATCTTCAAAACTTAGTTTTTAGTCAGTGGCATAAAGCTGGGACTAGATTATTTGTTTATGTGACAAATGGAAAAAAAGCGAGTGGGGCAAAAATGGTGGTAGAAATTTTTAGGGTATTTCGAATATAACATATTTTTGCATTTCCTTTTGGTGTGCTAGTGGTGCAGAAATGTCACAGTTCACCTTTAAAGAAAGACCTTATAAAATAGTATATTCCAAATAAATTCATGAGCAGTAGCTCGAACAGTAGGACATTGCGCTAACAATGCCATGGTCATGGGTTTGATTACCAAGGAATACATGGACTGATAACATTTTGTAAATACATCGTCAAAGGAAATTAAGCACAACCAAAACAATGTTCTTCCACAAAATGCATGCTGTTTTTTAACTGCTAGAGGGCCAAAAGTTACATTGTGTACCTTTTAAAGGGATACTCCACCCAAAAATGAAAATTCTGTCATCATTTACCCACCCTTAAGTTGTTGCAAACCTGTATGAGTTTCTTTCTTCTGCTGAACACAAAGGAAGATATTTTGAAGAACGATTGGAACTTTGGCACCATTGACTTCCATAGTATTTTTTTTTTCCTACTATGGAAGTCAATGGTGCCAAACAACTGTTTGGTTCCAATCGTTCTTCAAAATATCTTTGTGTTCAGCAGAAGAAAGAAACTCATACAGGTTTGCACCAACTTGAGGGTGAGTATTATGATTACAGAACTTTCATTTTTGGGTGGAGTATCCCTTTAATGAAATTGCTTTGGATAAAAGCTTCTTCCAAATACATAAATGTAGAATGAATTATTGTTTTTGATAAAACATCCTTCAGAAGAAATGCCACTGCATTTATACCAGTGTATTCCTGGGTATTCTGTCCTGGGGCCGTATTCACAAAGAATTTTAAGGCTAAAAGTAGCACCTAAGTCTGGGACAGCTTAAAAGAAGTCGAGAGGACTCCTAACTCACTAACACCTATTCACAAAGGATTGTAGCGCATACCACCGCCTCTCGCAGTCGTCCCGGGTCCGCGACACAAGCGGGAATGCTGCATTGATCTGCAAACAAATCCTCTCCCATGTGTTTTGCTTGATATCCCAGTGCCGAATTTCCCATTTATCTTTTTTTTTTTTTCAGCACCAACTGAGCCAGCAGCAGTAATGGTGTGTTCACACCGAACGCGAATTTAATTATTTGCGCGAGTAGATTACATACAAAGTCAATGCAAAGACGCGAATAGACCATAGGAATAGACGCATCATTCGCGCCGGGCGTTGCGAATGACGCGAATTGGACGATGCGTTTGCCGCGAATGTCTTCCACGCAAGTTGAAAAATTTGAACTAGACGCGATAGACGCGTATTTGATGCTCTATTCGCGTTTGGTGTGAACACACCATAACTGATCCTGCGTCCAGTTGGGCTTTCTTTTCCGTTTTGGCGAGTCCATAATCCACCGTCATTCAACTATTACATTAGGCTACTTCAATAGGAGCAACATTTCCTTAGTCTATTTAGGCTAATAGGATGTCAATTAATGTGTTAATGCACGTGTCGTTTTTCATTATTAGGCAAGTGGCTGTTTTCATTAGGGTAGGCTATTAGGCTACCTTGATTTAATTTAATTTACGACTTTTTTTCTCTCTCTCTCTGCCTTTTTAGAATTACACTTCACTGGGGCATGCACAAACATGATATGCATTTCGATGACATTACTATTATTATTTTGTGTAGGACACAGACATATTTAGCTGTCGTAATTCCATGATTTGTTGCGTCTGTGTTATGTTCCGCATGATGGCCCTGTCATCTAACAACCAATCACCATGATCATTGCGAGGAAGCTCGTGCATGAGAATTGACGTCATCCATAGCAACGAAGACTCACCTTAGTTTAGGAATTGTCATTTTTCCTTACTAAGAGTAGGTCTGAAAGACGTTGTGAATAACTTTTAAGAGAAAACTCCTAGCTAAAATATTTTAGTGCAATTTAGGAGTACTCCTAGTGGTAAGATAAAATTCTTTGTGAATACGGCCCCTGGACAGACATGGAGAGGTATTGTAGGGTCTTATGTAAAATATGTATTTATAAGGTGCTCATGGCTTGCTATGATGATTATAAACATCATGTCCTAAATGGCGCCTTCTTATAAGCCTATCAGACAAAAATTAATGAACCTCTTCTTTATCTGCTTTTAATAGAATCCTGCAGAACTCATAGTGCTGCACAATGCTTTTCATACCACAGGCTTAAAAGGATACAAAGGGAAGGTGACACAGCCGTATATGGGGCTGAAAGTCCTCATGCTGACCCGCATACAGAAATACTAAAGTATATCATGTGCAGAGATACTGAACTTAAAAGGTTCTAGGTCTACAAAAATGTCACAACTGCTGGAAATGGGTCAATCAAACCAACATCATGTTTAATCTATGATAATTTAGGTCCAAATTAGCAATCTGATTGGCTGAAAAGAGCTAGTTTTTTTTACTACCTGGACCTAGTTCAACTACAGCCATATTAGTAGCTACACTAAAAGCTACTAGCTTTAAAGCGATACTTCAGGATTTAGCATTAAGCTTTGTATTAGTAGGAAACCTGTAGTATTTTCGAATTACCATGCTTTCCACCCTCATATCCCCCTGAGACGAGAGATTTATGTATTTTTTGTCTGGAAAAAATCCTCCGATGATGCAAAAATCGTCATTTTGCGTCATCGGAGGATTTTTTGGCCAGAGGCTAAAGACTACAGCCAGTAGTAGGGGCTGTCCCGCATGTTCTCAACCTGCCCATAGAGGGTGGGATCTCACTCACAGAATGTACACATAGTGTCACTGTCAGCCATCTTTTTTTGGAAGCTGAGCTAGCAGGCTCTTGTTCTGTGGAGAAAGCTGAGTAGTAGGGGTTACCATCCTCTTTTTCCCAGACATGTCCGGCCGTCGATGTCCGGGATTCAGCTTTTGCTTTCTGCAGTCGCCATTCATTGTTTACATGCACACCTTTTGTTTCAATCTAACTGAATTCATTCCGATTGGTGAATCTGAATGTAGTGTTTACATGAACGCTAAACAAGTGATCGGTTGATGTGCGTTTTAACATTGCTAAGAAAATTCCCGCTCCTCTGTGAGAGATACGAGACCGGTGCGTCTCACAGGTGTCTCTCATCAGTAATCACCCCCTCGGCCTCGTCCTGCTCGCCACAGTAAACATAATGAATGACGACTGTGGAACGCAAAAGCCGAATCCCGGACATTTTGGGCGATCTCGAAATCCCGGGCAGACTCATCACCGAGACTCACAAGTAGCCTAGACTTGTTGTTTAACTACTGCGCTCTGTTACCGGTAGGCGTGGCCTCCTAGGGCAGCGAAGCAAGTGCATTCTGGGAGTTGTTGTCTTTCATCCACATAAGCCAAAAATAATTTTTTCTGGCTTTTCTCAGTCTAGAAAGCTCCAAATTCAAAAATAATTTCACATTTCTTCTACATAAATGACCCATTTTAAATACACATTCATCTTTCCAGAGGTGAAGCATCCCTTTAAGAAGAAACTAAACTGATGCTATTTTACGGGGGTGAAAGAAGAGCCTGGTCATTCAACTAAACTAAACTAAACTAAACTAAACTAAACTAAACTAAACTAAACTAAACTACATTTTAATTTCGTTTAAAACCCCTTAGTTTAGTTTAAACCCCTTTAAACATAACACCAAAGCATGCAAATATTGTGGAAATTATTAGCCCGTCTATATTATTTTCATTTATTTTTCTCGAAAGGGAGAGTATTTAAATATAGAATTATAATAAAATAAAAATAATAATAATAATAAAGTAAACTAACGAATACAATTAGGGGCCCCTAATTATTATTAAAATTACTATTATCTTTATTATTATTATTATTAAATAATATGCAACCAGGAGTATTTAGTCTCAATCATTTAAACATAAGTTTTGAACTGTTTTTCACTGTAGCAGTAAACCACTATTACCTTGTTATAGTCCTGTTCCAGTCGGGAGTCCGAGCCTGTTCCCTGTTTATACTTGTTCATCTTCAGTTTCATCTGCCGCGTTCGTTCCTCGACGTCCATGGCACCTACGGATCACAGCAGACGTCAATGAGTTTGCTGGAAAAGTGTCTTGTGATGTTGGTGAGGCTAGATGGAAACAGATCTGTTGACCCGTTCACTAATGAAGCATTTGATATATAATGTAGTATATAATGTGACATATAATGTAGAATGGTTTAAAGAGATAGTTCACCCCAAAATGTAAAGATTCTGTCATCATTTACTCACCCTCAAGTTGTTCCAAACCTGTATGAGTTTCTTTCTTCTGTTGAACACAAAAGAAGATATTTTGAAGAATGTTGGTAAGCGGACAGTTGACGGGAGCCAGCTATTTTTTTCCCTACTATGTAATGTAAGTCAATGGCTACCATCAACTCTCTGGTTACCAACATTCTTCTTTAGTGTTCAACAGAAGAAAGAAACTCATACAGGTTTGGAACAACATAAGGGTGAGTAAATTATGACACAATTTTCATTTTTGGGTGAACTAACCCTTTAATAAAGAAATCTTTCCCATCAACAACACTACAGTTGAGTGATCACTTTTAACTCTCTGAGCATAAAAGACATCTGTCTGTTTAATACCAAATTGTCCATAAAAATGATGCATTAATCAAAATGCCTGTCACCATTAATAATAAGCTAATGGGTAAATGTCTTCACACACACATTGCCATACTGTAAATGATGCAGCCCATAGCAGAAAAAAATGATACAAATTAAACAATTTTTTCAGATTACAGAAGGAGGTAGTATATTTAAAATATCAAAAGGTTAGCTCTGGTCTATTTTTATTGAGAGTAGCTTAGCATAAATTCCTCACAAACGTCACTCAAACCCGAGGCACACTTGAAAGCATCTAAATGGAAAAGTGTCATTTGTTATTAGCAAATCAAATCTAACCATACAATATAAATACAGTGTATGTGCAAATTCCATTCAAACGAAATACTCTAGAATGTAGTGTTTCTAAGCAGAGGTGTAAAGTCCAGGGGTCAGAAAGTAAAAGTCCTGCCATATGTTCATCCTTCAATGCCAATTGTTGTTGTATGGAAGGCAAAAAAACCCTGAAATGCACAATTTGAGGCTTGTTTGAATCACAAAGTCATATAAACTTCTGTGACCATTTCAGTTGCAAGATGACAAGCTACAACTTTAACTAGCCTGTTCGCACAAGCAAATTATTGAATTTGTTTGTGCTATTGAGTCGTGTAAAGCGTACTACATGTGTCTTTGTCAGTGCAGGTGCCGTAAATGTCAATAGCAATTTTCTCTTGCAATAGCAATTGTGCTGTTAAGTAATTAACATGTTCAGCAAATTGCCCAATGATTAGTGCTCTCAAAATCATTAGATTAATTGGATTTAATAGCAGCACTATAGTGAAGCTCATATATGAGGTGCGTTTTTAAGCTTGAAGCCACATTCATAACGGAGAGTGCTTTCATTATGCTTTGCATCATGGGAAAACTTCCCCTATTAAGTCAATCCGCAGGCAAAAGTTTTCAATCTTTGTATCTAGATATCTGCCATGCCTAAACCATACAACACACCTCGTTTTCTCTATCGCTTTACAGTTTTTTTTAAATGGAGATAGGGAAGACACAAGCACACTAGTAAAAGAGGACGAAAGTGGGTGCAAATGAAACCTAAACTGACATTAACACCTTATGAAAATAGCCATAATGTGATATATATATATATATATATATATATATATATGTACTTATGCCGTCATGAAGCCAGCTTCATTAGCTCGAGCCATAACCAAGAACTGTACACAACAGTCGGGTTCGGGAGGTACAAAATCCCATTCCTTTTCTCCACAGAGAAAGATTTTTGGTTACACTTTATTTCGATGGTCTACTAACTATAAGTAACTTTGCAATTACATGTCAATTAACTCTCATTAGAGTATTGGTAGACTGTTAGTTTAGGGTTTGGGTTAGTAGAATAAGTTGATTTTGAACCAGATTTTGATTTTGAAACAATAATGCAGTGCGATTTCATTAAAAAAAATGAATTGAAAAAATATAGGTAACACTTTACAATAAGGTTCATTAGTTAACATTAGTTAACATGAACTAAGAACGAACAAGACTTCTACAGCATTTATTAATCTTAGTTAAAATTAATTTCAACATTTACTAATACGTTATTAAAATCAAAGGTTGTATTTGTTAACATTAGTTAATGCACTGTGAACTAACACGAACAACTTACGTGTATTTACAGTATACTTACCTAGAAAGTACTGGTTAATATAAGGCATGGGCGTAGATTACGCGGGGGACGGGGGGGACATGTCCCCCCCACTTTTTATAAAATGTAAATTCGTCCCCCGCACTTTTTCATAGGGCAAATGTGTCTATGACAAGCTGAGGTTTTCGCGGGTGTGTATAGCCTGCCCTACATCGAGATTTAAAATCCAAAGAAAGGATAGTCTATCTACATACGTGACTTTCACGCTTCCATGGTAATCAGTCACTCGTGCGACACGCCCATGCTCGCAGCCGCGCCGAATCCATCAGTTTCATAGAGTTCAAAACGGCAAAAAAAACTCTTCACTCCTTTTTCACGAAAGAGTCAAGCACTGTAAGTAAGTTGTCATGTGGTATCGGAATTGTGTTGCACAATGATGAATAACTCTGCCTATTTCTCTTGTTGAATAATTAACAAGTTTTGTTGTAAATTGAAAATATTCATTATACCCGGATTACCCGCACAAACGTGCACTATTTTCAATCTTTTTTTATTCGTAATGTCTTTTATTTTCACAGATATGTTATCAAAGCCGTTCAAATTAGAATAAACATGGTGATTGTTAATGCTGAATTTGTATGTTCATGCATTAACAGCCACGATCTGCTTGAATCAGGCAGTAACATGTGTAGACTATGATGTTTACCATAATTCGGTAACACTTTACAATTAGATAAAAAAGTTTGTAGACAAACTTGAAGTTCTCTTGAAAAAGCCTAACTAGAAAGTTTGAAGTATTTTTAAAAGCTTGATGTTTGAAGGTTTTCAATTGGAAAGTTTTAGTTTAGTAAGACAGACTTTAGGCTATTAAGGAAATGTTATTTTGCCAAAAGAAGAACTTTTATTTTAAGTAAATGTTATTTTTAAATCAGCCTACTTCAGTGTGATATTTAACCATATTATCATGCTTAACAGTAACACTGACAATTTGAATAATTGTAATGCGATGATCAGATATCTAAATCAGAGAATGTCATATGTTTGGGGGGTTGACGGGTGGATTATTTACTTTTAATAGTGGATTCGGGGGACTCAAAGTGCACCAGATGAATGAATTTATTTTTAAAATGTACAAAATTTTCCGCCGGGGGGGCATGCCCCGGGACCCCCCTAGAAGTAGGCTACCGAGATTCACCTACAAAAATACTGTGGTAAACACAGTAGGCTATATGATGGTCTACGAAAAATAAAAATGTTATTATCTAATTAAAATACATGATCAGGATTTTACCACCTCCGCCTCGTTTTAAGCCAGGAAAAACCCTGCAATATAAAGTACTGAGCATCTACATTTCTTTCTTTCTGTTTTATTGCTTTAAAAATAAATAGCATATTAAGCCACTTAACCTGTCAACAAAAGTCTGAAAAAAAAATGGTATTACACTTGACATTCTGTCCCCCTCACTTTTGAAATGATGGCTACGCCCCTGATATAAGGTAAGTACATGGGTTAGGGGTAGGTTTAGGGGTAGGTTCAGGGTTAGTACCTAGTTATTACCCAGTAATTATAATTACTATAATAAGTACATAGTATGTACATGGGTAACAGGACTGTAAAAGGAAGCGTTACCGCTGTATTTTTATTAACTAACATTAACAAAGATTAATAAATACTGTAACAAATGTATTGCTCATTGTTAGTTCAGGTTAGTTAATACATTAACTAATGTTAACAAATGAAACCTTATTGTAAAGTGTTACAAAAATATAGTATCGAATAGCCAAATTAATGGGAATAATTACATTAGCCATAATTCCGACGAGAGATTCACTATTTAAAAAAAAGTTACTGTGGAAAGGAAAATCTCTGCAAAAAGCTCCCATAAAGCTTAGCGAATGACAAAAGTGTGAGGGTGTGTTCACACTTGTATTTCGGTTCTCTTGGTTCGATACATTGATACATTTAGTCCTGGTTTGCTTAGCGTTCACACAGTCATTTTTAACACCGAACCCAAAGATACAAAAAACACAGCCTTTATGACACATGTTTTACAACGGAACATTGTATGTGCATAAATATGATGGAATATGCAGGAGCTGACAACTCGTGAAGAGCTTATAAAATGTGTAAAGGAGTCAAAACAACGACAGGAATTCCTCCGTCACACACATCTGCTGTGAGATCTTCGCGGCAGAATTCATTTGGAAGCGGACTGAGACCCATGTTTCCAGCGGTCTCGGCCCGCTTGTTTGGTGCGCACCAGGGTTCAGAAGATGCCAGGGCTCACACTTTAGCAAATGAACCGCACTAACAGATCAATCGCACCAGAGTTCGCTTTAATTCAACCAAACATGACACGTGTGAACACACCCTCAGACACCCTATCAAACTAATAAGAAATTTGTATTTTTATTCAGCAAGGATGCATTAAATTGATCTAAAATTGATCTTGTTCTCTTGAACGTTCTAATCATCAAAAATTCACAGTTTGCATGAAAATATTAAGCAGAACTGTTTTTAACATTGATATTAATAAAAAAATCTTGATTTATTGGGCAGCAAATCAGCATATTAGAATGTTCTGAAGGATCATGTGACACTGAAGACTGAAGAAGATTAATTTTAAAATATATAGAAATAGAAAAATAAAATAAAATCATCGTATTGCACAAGTTACTTGGTGAGCATAAGATACTAAATTTCAAATCCATTATAAATACACTTGTTTTAAATTGTACCATGTCAGATTCAACAATGTGTCATTAACAGTGATTCAGTGCCTCATAAAAGACATTAAATGCACCTTGTACCTCTTTTCGGATTTTAATTTTTAACTGAATTTTTTTTTTTTTATCCCTATGGAGAACATGAATGGGAAAATGACATTCCAGAACCAAGGCTGCTGGAAAAAGTGTTTTGTCACTCAAAAAAAAACAAAAAAAAACAATGCCACCATTTTGAAATGTTTTCAAAATAAGAGCACACACATGATCATAATCAGACATGATTATGACTCGAGCTGGTAAGGAAGCCCATGAGCTTCATAGCAGAAAGTAACTCTGGAACCAGGTGAATAAAATGCTCATAAAAAGGGCAGAGAAGAGGCGTAATAGATTTAAAAAGCTAGTGAAGACAACCAAAGAGCAGAAATAGATGATGTTTGCTTTTCAAGCACAATCCCAGCATTTACTCCTCTACAGTTTTTACACTCATTGTACTACTGTAGATTCAAATGTGTATTGCAGTCCAAATTGATAATGGTTGAATCTCACAAATGCTCACATATATATATATGAAAAAAGCATATATATAAGGTTCAATGGGGTTCTATATAGAACTTTAGGGTTCTTGACTCAAATTTACACAAACACTTTATGCCAAAAAGGTTTAATACAATGATAAACGTCTTAAACGATTGCATAATGCGCTCATGTTTAATGGGTTTATAAAAAAAAAAAGACATGTTCTTTGTGAGATCAACCTTGATTTTTATTAATTACATTGCAAAGCATATTTCAGTCTGACCTGCTGGAATATCCATATAAAAACAGCTTCTGATGGTTTCAAGCTCGTCCAAACTAGTCATTAGGTAGCCTAAAGGCCAGTTCACACCAAGGATGATAATTGATAACGATAACGATAAATCGTTCTAAATATGAAAGAATAATAGAACCACATCACAGATATAATGTTAACGGCACATAGAAACGATATCGCTGGAATCACTTTCAGGACTTTTTTTTCCCCCAGCTGATGAATGATCAAAATATTGACAGCCAATCAGAATCCACCAGATTTCAAAGAGCTCGAGCATTTAAAGCGGCAGGCGACAGAACTACAGAGCGAGCTTACAATAAAGTAGTAGTCTGTAGTCAATCATTTTATCGGGTAAAACTAATCTTTGATCACCAAAATTAGATATTTAAACGTTTTTCCTTGAGAAAAAAAATTGACTTTGAAATTTTCAAATTATCAAATTATCCCCGCCTCCACTCACTCACACCAGCTCAGATCGACGATCACACGTTGACGTGATTGGTTGCGCGGTAATTTGTGACGTCAGAAACACCAGCGATTTCAAACCGTGTTTTTGAGACTGTCTTGACTGCAGTTTTAAGGGGAAAATCGTTCTTGGTGTGAAAGGGCCTTAAGATTGTCTAGATGCTCGATCAATCAATCTTTATCCTTTGTGGTTCTTCCAGCAGGGAGAATGAATGGGAGTGCGACGAACAGAGAGGAGCTGGGACACGGCATGGAGGAAGACGAGAAAAGCAAAGCAGAAGAAAGGACAGACCTGAGTTTGTCTGACTGGGGGAGTCCGTGTCTTCTGGGAGGGGGGGTTAGGGGGGAGGGGGTCACATCACGAAAATGGACAGACAGACACAGAGGAGAGGGGTGTGAGAGGAGGTGTGCAGAAAGACGGGACGAGAAACCAGGGGCAAAAACACATCGAAGGGAACACAACAACAACAACACAAACAACAACAACAACATTAAAAAAATAGGAAACAACAACACGTCTCAAGTTCCATGACACAGAGAGAACAGAAAAATAAATCACAGTTCAGAGGGAAAACACCAAGAGCAGCCAGTCCTGCTTAAGAACAAACCCTGAAACACTAGAAGAATGTTAATAGAACATGCAGAGGGAATGAGGGATGAAAAAAAGACCTGCAGAAAGAGGGAGAATAGAAGAGAGAGGAACGAGGACAGTCTCCGCAAACCCTGAAGAGAAATATCCTGCTGTAACGTTTGCACCAGGTCCTGACACCTATCAGATGGGTTTTTAGAGACATGTGGATGCTAAACACAACACTGACAGATATGTTACAGTATCTAAGCAACATAACAATGTTTTTGTACAATGTATCAACATACTCCGGGCGACTTCAAGTCCGAAAGTAAAAGCGGTTCTTTAAAAAGTCAAATCACTGTAACACATGGTCCTGTGTGTTTTATTGCTTTCATAAAAATGACCAAAACAAAATTGTCAGTAAATGCAGTGTACATTTACTGGAAATGTTGCGTCAGTAAGTTTGGGGTCAGTAAGAAATTCATTCTTTTATTCAGCAAGGACGCATTCAATTCGACAAAAGATTTCTATTTCAAATAAAAGCTTTCGAATCATTAACGAATCCTGATAAAAAATGCATTATGGATTCCACAAAAAATATTTTTTAATCAAATAATTCAGCAATGGTGAGCATAAGAGACCACCACATTTAAAAAATCATACTAAACCCAAACTTTTGGATTGAAGTATACAAAAATACAAAGCAAAAAGCCCCTCTACAAAGCAATTGTATTGTTGGCGGCCAATGAGTTCCTCTGCCATTCTTGACTTAAACAGGCCATAGCTTTTGACACTGATAAACATATATTTTTTTTATAAAAAATAAGCTGTCTTGCAACTAAAAATGGACATTCTGCAGGCATTTATTGCATATCATTCACAGCAATGCATAATGCATCACATCGTAAATGATGCATACATCTCTAAATGGCCACGAGTTTTATCAAATTAAACTTTGATACACCCACATCACATCAGCAACAGCAAATGTTTCAACAGCCGCAAGTCACTCATTTTAATGAACAACGAACTGACTGAAACTGCTGTCGGTTTGAACCAAAGTCCCTTTAAAGGGATACTCCACTTTTTTTTTTTGGAAATAGGCTCATTTTACAACTCCCCCAGAGTTAAACTGTTGAGTTTTACCGTTTTTGAATCCATTCAGCCGATCTCCGGTTCTGGCGGTACCACTTTTAGCATAGCTTAGCATACATCATTGAAGTGGACAAGACCATTAGCATTTCTAAAAAAAAAATGACCAAAGAGTTTCTATATTTTTCCTATTTAAAACTTGACTCTTCTGTAGTTACATCGTGCACTAAGACCGACGGAAAATGTAAAGTTGCGATTTTCTAGGCTGATATGGCTAGGAACTATACTCTCATTCCTGCGTAATAATCAAGAAACTTCACTGCCGTACCATGAGTGCAGCAGGCGTAATGATATGACGCAGCGCCTGAAAATAGTTCCGTTGTGTTGACGGAAGGTGGCCTATTTTCAGGCGCTGCGTCATATCATTACGCCTGTCAGAGTCAAGTTTTAAATAGGAAAAATATCGACAGTTTAACTCTGGGGGAGTTGTAAAATGAGCCTATTTCAAAAAAAGTGGAGTATCCCTTTAAGACCGGTCATTTCAATCGCCGGAAACGCTATTCCAGTCATGCAAGTAAAGCTTCTTTCTCTGAATGTGGAAACATCAAATTCTCCAAAGATGTATACCAATGCATCCACCTTGAAAGACTGTCACTAAAAATACTAAAGCTAAAAACACACTAGCTGAAAGGTGTGTGTTTAGCCCTAATTCTCACACATCACAGATCTCCCAGCATCCTCCTTTAGATCATTTGTTCGATGCCCGTTTTAGAGTCTTATATAATTACGCTGGCGTCTGAGGACACTGTTTGGACACACTCCTCCTCGCCATATTTAAATTCTTTATCTGTGTCTTCTTCACAGAGAACACAATCTGCTGATACGGCTGGTTTTTTTCTCAGTTCTTCATTGTTCTCTTTGATTCGCTGAAGCATTAATCACGCAACAACCCTGCGTGCATGATCTTGTGTACCCAAGCACATTTCTCATGCATTAATCACCCACAAGACGATCCCATTCCACACAGACGGCTACACTGATGGGACATTCATTAGCCGGACCTGATACCGACCCTATTAACCCCCCACGCACACATACACACAGCCTCACATCAGAAAGCTATTCAGGATCCAGATCCTCAGAGCAAGAGAAACGATGTCTTGTGGTGTCACTCGCTCGTCTCACTGTCATCAGTAAAACATTCAATACAGCGATACTCGTCTAAAGCTGTATTCATCATACGCAGCTCTATAATTTCCGTCAGCTTTGTGCGTAGAGTGGAGGTGAACATCTCCCATGTATTTTAATGAGATGCTGTTGAAATCACGAGTATTTGTTTTTTTGAATGCGGTCTGATTGTATAAGGTGAATGTGCAATGAAAACCCACATAAAGAGAGCATGTCTACTGGTGATCTGCGCGTTCGAAACACGCTTCGAAACGTTTGGTTGTTCGAACTATTTTTGACTAGCGGGCGTCACCAGACGGTGGTGATTCTAGTGCTTCGAAACAGAGTCGTTCTGAATCAGCAGTGATTTGATTTCTTTCAAATCTTACTGATCGGAAACTCTTGCATGGTAAGTTTCTGATTAGTAAGATTCGAAAGAAATTAATAATTGTGTTCAGCAAGACTATGGATTAACAGCCTCGGATAGTTACAGTAGGTATACTTACAGTAGGTCTGTCTTTTACAGTTTATTCGTTTTTGTTAAAAAATATATTTCCCTATGGAGAAAATGAAATACTATGAAAGTAGTTTCAGTTATGACTTTTTTTTCCATTTGATTTAGTCTATTTAGTTTTGTATCAAATACAATGTGGTTTTTGTTGATCGAGATCTGGCAGCAACAGCACATTCTTCCGCTTGGGCGAGCGATTCGCGGACAGCTTTCCCTGAGAACAACATATAAGGAATACTTTTAGCTGTTTTTTTTTTTTTTTACATGACGCACCACCCAGCATAACCAGTTAAAGAAGTCACCTCTCACTACTGGTTTACGCCCCCTACTGCTGATTGGCTGCAAGAGTTTCTCAGAAATTGCTTACTGCACCTTTAAATACAGACTCAATGAGCATAAACACTTTCAAAACCAATCTCAAACATTTGAAAGGGATCGTGTATGTTGTATTATTTTTGTAAAAATAACTAATCAATAAATTGCCTCTTGAAAGACAATAGAGCTAAAATGCATGTTTATGCATACATTATAGTTTTATTTGAGCAACTCAAAAAGTCACAAGTAGATGACTGATAAAGATAAACTAAAGATAACTTTTTAAGAAAAGAACGTTACTGTTTATTTATCTACAATTGTAGATTATTTTATATCTAATTGGGTTTTAGATGATCATCTGACTGACATGTAAAGCAACCAAAAACAGTTTGTTTTCTTGTTTAAATGTACCATTATTGATACTACAACAATCGACTGGTGGAAAAACCTAATAATTCAAACCAACTGCACAGAAGTGTCAGTCTATGACCAGTCTATGTGCTGCAAACCCTGCAGAAAATGTGTGCAGGTCATAAAGCCAGCAAATCAGATTGAAACTGGCGATTTCAGTTTTGTGTGCAATAAGCATTAAACGGTTAGTGAACAGACTGTGAACTGTGAGTTTCTTGACAGGCCGATTGACTTCCAACTTCCACGGTTACTCCACCTGACTGTATTCAGCACAGAGATGTAGAGCTCAGAATCATTGAGAGGAAAGGGCACACGGGGTCAAGATCAGAGAGGTCAGAGGTCAAACCTGTCTGAGCAGCGATGTGTGTCTCCTCCTGATGGCCGTTAGATGAGTGACCAGCACTGACCACTGAGCCCTGCTGGTCCTCCCATGTCACCTCTTATCATGCAGGTCATTGACACAGAGACATAGGCAGCGTTAACATTCGGCTCGAGAAGACGTGTAGAAAAAGTAAGGGATTTCTACAGTGGCCTCAAAACCTGTTTGAAAACTTAAGTCATGCTTAAAAAATCTGAATGTGACATTAAGACAATATTAACTGCGGCTTCACAGTCCAAATCCATTGTTACTCTTCTTTCCATCAAACTTCTTTTTGTTTCACTTGGAAAGTGTGCTCGTGCTATTTTTTTATTTGAAATAAATGCCACTTGGTTTGATATTTTGTATCTAATGCAATACCTTCAGACTAGATTAGACTTTCAAATGCTTTTTGAGGCCACTGTATACTTCACACCTCAGTGTTTGTTCCAAAAAATACAGTCTGCATGCGTCTATATTTTATGTTTGCAAAAACGTGGCTTAAAATAATAGCCGGAACAATTCTGGGAATAATTCTAAGACCCTTCAGCACTGAAAGGAGTGAACAGCTCCTTTCTACACATGATTGTGCTCCATCTGCTGGTCAATCTCTGGAACTGCATCCTACTATACAATTCAGTCTGTGGAACCGATTGATTTACACTATTATAAAAATATGAAATTATAGAACATCTACTCTATAGAAAGTGTATAGAACAAAACCATGTGTTTTTAACTAAAAGTGACTTTTAGTTAAACAGAAAAGACTGAACGTTTATCCGGCTGTATACGGCTCAGAGCAAAACATTTATCCGGACAGAATTCGATTTTAATGCAACACAATCCGAATTTAATTTAAGACATCTCTAGATGTCCCTCATTATTCACAGCAAAACACATTAAAATACTGACAACCCACTCAAGAGAGATATATGAGAGACGTGAAGAGGGAGAGATTGACCTAGAAACAGACAGAGAGAGAAAACGACTCATCCATGAAGAACTCATGCAAGATCCGTGACGCATTAATCCTTCAATGGCAGTAGTTTTAAGAAAAGAAAAGACATTTTAAAGGACTGGGCGATATAGCTAAATATAGTGCAATACAAGTGTGTAAAAAAAAAAGTACTTAAAAACTATATTTTGAAAAATAATCATATTTTTCAATAATATATATATTGACATATATTATTATTATTATTAAAACATAACATAAAAATGCCACAATACTGAACAACAGAAATAAATCAAACTTTTTTTTTTTTTTACATGCGGAGTAAAACCAGGATGGCATTTTAAGAAAGAAAATATGGTCAATTTAGATATCATAGTGACTTTAAAATCAAATGCATATATATTATGATTATTTGATATATTGCCCAGCCCCTCGGCCCCTGAAATGTCCTCTCAGAAAAGAAAAGAAAGAGGAAAGTAAATAAAATATTGCAAAGCTACACTGCAAACACACACGCCTGGAGAGACTTGCCTTTCCTCCCGTTTACGGCTGGGCCATTAGGCCTCATCTCACACACTTTAAAACAACAGGAGCAATGGAGTAAAAACAGTGCAAAAATTGCACAAAATATAAGTCAAACTTCTAACAAAACCTCCTGTATACTCGTTTTGAGTGTCATATGAAAAAAATTATGAGAGAGCATTTCAAACAGCTGATGTAGAGTATCAGATGGACAGAAAGAGATGGATGCTGGGAAGGTGGCAGACACACACACACACACTCCCAACAGACCAGATCTTGTGACAAATACAACGGATGTGGCAGATGGGAGAAGAGGAAGTGCGATCGGTTGGAAACTCAAGTCTGTTAGTGTTTGTTGTGCATGTGTACAACCAATTTTTCATTTACAAACCTTAACCTGACACAAACTTGAAGTTATGTATAGACTGACCCTAAACTCGCTCAGAAGGTCTATCTGTCTATCTATCTATCTATCTATCTATCTATCTATCTATCTATCTATCTATCTATCTATCTATCTATCTATCTATCTATCTATCTATCTATCTATCTATCTATCTATCTATCTATCTATCTATCTATCTATCTATCTATCTATCTATCTATCTATCATCTGTCTGTCTGTCTGTCTAATCTATCTACCTACTAAAAGTTTGACCATTTAACCCTCTGGGGTCCAAGGTGTTTTTGGGGTCCTTGAGATGTTTTGACATACTCTGACATTTGTTCTTTTTTCAGTTGCTTATAAACATATAAATCTTAAAAGCTCAATATAAGCCTCCTCTTTAAATTATTTGTATTGTGTTTTATTAGTGACACATTTGGGATTCATTCCCCAACGTTAGCAAAACAGAACAACAAGTCGGTAAATTCAACCAATGATATTTGGACAAGACAAAAATACTGTGACTGCTTTTATAACAAAACAAAACAAAAAAACTTTTGGAAAATCCTTTATCACAACATTACACGATCACTGTTACAGTAAGACAAAGGGAAAGACGAAAAACTACCACTGTTTATCACATAAACACGAAGAGTTTGCAATGGACCTGGCTTCATAACCTCTTTAGGAGAAAGCTCTGCCGGAGCATTTGATGATTCCGAAATGAAGAGGAAATCTGACTTCCAAAAAGCTCTATAAGCCGAGGTTAATTCTAGACCTGTCTGTAGAGGAAACGTCAGCTCAAGACCATTGCAGAAAGGTTTAATTCAATCGGAAGATCTATTAAACCTTCACAGACGGTGTTACACACCTGGACAAGGCTCAAGTTCTTCATCTCCATCTTCTGAGAGAGGAATGAGAGAGGGAAACATCAGAGCGCACATGCACAACTAAACCACGCATGTCATTTACATGACCATGTGTGTGGCACACACTCAAATATAACCACAGGAAGTGACTGGCACACAAACTATGTCATATTCAGCCAATGAGGGTAATGGATAAGTGCAATGTTGTGATAATGTGTAACAATCCCTGAAAAACGACACCAATTCACACTGGAAACACTTCTGTTTTTCGAACCTTTCATATCGAACTTAATGCAGTGGATTTGGTTTATTATTTACTGAAATGACAAGCTTTGTTGTCACATCAGCTCAATAGAGTCAATCAGCAAGAAGGCCCCGCCCACCCGTGGGGGAAAACAAACTCTGTTACCCAATTAACGTATGTGGACAACAGTAACCAGGGCTTGACATTAACATCCGCCAACCCGCCAAATGTGTGTGATTTCAGCAGTGTCGTGTAACGCAGTCACTCCTACTAGCCACTTTGGCGGTTTGAATTTCATATATATTATATATAGGCTCGAATTTTCTTTTAAAAAGGCGTCTGAAATAATAAACGAAGTGCAATTTAGTGTCGTCAAAAATATAGATATTTCGATACATACAGTATCGATACTGAAAGACTGAAACGCTTCCAATACTCATTTTACGCAGAATTCACGATACCAGCTGGATCCGTGCATTCGGTCTTAAAGTGACAGTAGCCTAATATACCTGCTGGCAAATTATGAGATAGTATTAAAATGTCAGTTTTTCTCCATGGTTTCGATGTCAAAATTGTTGCCGGTGAAAATACTGAGTGGCTTGTAACTTTGGAAAACCATTAGCCACAGTGGCTGGTGAGCAAAAAAGTGAATGTCAAGCCCTGTTTGGCACAAAATGTCATTTTTCCTCAATCTTGAAATCAAAATGAGAGTTTTGTGTGTCCACCAAAGTGTTATGATATGGAATATCCGCAGAAGTGTTACTAGTATCTGATTTCGCAGATAGTTTTTTTCTTCTTCTGAATATTAAAATATAGATACGATGTAAGGAATTTGCTCTGGCTCTTGTTTGAAATTATTTTGTTCCATTTTTGTGCTTGTTGTCGTCTGTTGTCGTTGTGCACCCCGGATGGTCGGGGTTGTATTTGTCCCGCCCCATCTCCACTGTGATTGAACGACTGGGTAAAAGGTGGCAGTGATGAGTTCTGCGCTTTACCCAAAGTTGAACAGTTTTCAACTTCTGATTTTTAAACGCCGGCCTTAGAAGAAAAGAAAAAAAAACGCTTTGGTCGACACATGTCCATGTCTGTTAGATTTGAGGTTATCAGTATGCTATTGAATTGTAATCTTGACAAAAGTATATTTTAGCATCATTTTATAGGTAACAATTTACAATACGGTCCCACGTTAGTTTATGTGTTTACTAACGGAGCAAATTCCTATTTCAACAGTCAAAAACTGTCAAATTTATTGAATATTTTTCTTCATTTCCCTATTGAAATGAACAGGTCTGTAACTGGGGCTTGATGCATCACTGAATGTATCTATAGGTTGCTGCAGTCAGTCATTTTCCAATCCCACCTCTCAAATAAACCCATCTCAGCATGAGCAAGAGCCAACATGGAGAGAAAAAAGGAGCAACACAGACAGACAAACATACTTCTTTCCAGCGTCCCTTTCGGAGGCAGCTGTGGTAGCTGTCGTCCTCTCCTGCTGTTCACAGGGGTCCCAGTGGGGCTGGTCTGAACCGATCCACCACGAGGATTCGCCCTAGTACACAAAACACAATCACCATTATTATTGCCGTTTTGTGCATGCACCTTATTTCCATAACGCAAGGCATTACCCAGAACACTGACAGCGCTAGCAAGGAAATCAAAACAAAGTATCATAATAGGACATTCAACAAAAAGGCAAAACGAGATTTCGCAGTTGCTCTATGAAGCATCAGCAAATGAAAACCCAGTTGAAAATGATACATTATAAAAAATAGGGAGATGAAGGGTTAAAAAGCATGTGGATCAGTCAGTCATATATATGATATTTCACATATACATGTGCAGTAAAACCATGCAGATCCATTTGAATGATGCTGAGGATTAAAATAACAATAAATAAACATGGTTGTCCATCAGCATTTTGTATTAGCATAGTTACAAAGCGGGTATTAATATATACACTACCGTTCAAAAGTTTGGGGTCAGTGAGAATTTTATTTTTATTTTTTGGAGGAAAGAAATCAATACTTTAATTTATCAAGGACAGTAAAGACATTTATATTGTTACAAAAGATTCTATTTCAAACAAATGCTGTTCTTTTGAACTTCCTATTCATCAAAGAATCAAAAAAAAAAAAAAAAACTGTACAACTGACAGACCAACAACTGTTTCAACATTGATAATAATAATAAATGTTTCTTGAGCATCAAATCCTCATATTATACTGATTTGTGAAGGATCATTTGACACTGAAGACACTGACACTGGTGATGCTGAAAATTCAGCTTTGATCACAGGAATAAATTACACTTTACTATATATTCACACAGAAAACAGCTGATTTACACTGGAATAATATTTAATACTATAACTGATTTTTGTTGTATTTTTAATCAAATAAGCGCAGCCATGGTTAGCAGAAGAGAATTCTTTTAAAAGTATTTAAAATCGTACCGACCCCAAACTTTATAACGGTAGTGTATAAGGTAAATATATACTAAATATATGGTACGTCCAAAGTTGTTTGTCTGTTTTTAATGTCATTTCAACTTCTATAGCTGTTTTTATGGTGAAATCCAGCTTAAAGTATCAGATATACACTACGATTCAAAAGTTTGTGGTCAGTAAGATTTTTTAAAAGTCTTTTATGCTCACAAAGGTTACATTTATTTGATCAAAAATACAGTTAAAACCGTAATATTGTGAAATATTATTACAGTTTAAAACAACGTATAAAATAACGTAATCTTGTGATGCAAAGCTGCATTTTCAGCAACATTACTTCAGTCACATGATCCTTTAGAAATTATTTTAATATGCTGATTTGCTGCTCAAGAAACATTTCTCATTATTATCAATGTTGAAAACAGTTCTGCTGCTAATTTGTTTTTGTGGAAACCATGATAATAAAAAAAAAATCTGGATTATTTGATGAATAGAATGTTCAGAAAGAACAGCATGTACTTGAACTAAAAAATCTTTTGTAAAATTATAAATGTCTTGATTGTCACTTTTGTTTAATTTAATACATCCTTGCTTAACAAAAATATATATTTTTCACAAAAAAAAAAAAAAAAAATCTTGCATCAAACCACCAACACCTCACTGATGTAAATTCAGTTGTTCTGCCATTCTATTCCATGCATTATTCCCGGCAGGAGTCTTCAGTAAATATGTACTTTACACGTCGATTTTAATGGTGCATTTGACAAAATGCTTTGGCACATGAAGGTGAGTCTTCCACAGTGATGCTGCAAGAGAAGTGTGCGGTTTTCTCCGCCATCACCGAAAACAAACAAAACATATTAGTATCCAAGACAAAAGAACCAAATGGGGGGAAAACAAATGAGTTAAACATCACAATACAGGGATAACAACCAATGGAGATTCCACATCACTCACTGAAAGTATAACTGGTGTGTTTTGATATAAAACAAATCATTAAAAAGAAATGAGCCGCATCTGGTGCATCTACAGGGATCATGAGATGGAGCAGATATAACAGCGATGCCGCAGAGGGGGCATAAAATAAATCAAAGGGGTTGGTTGGGGATGCCGGGGATCTTTGTTAACACATGAAAGGTGTTTTGTTGGATTAGTCAGGGCTGCTTTGATCTGGGTCACCTCGATAAGGCAGGGGAGGGTGGAGCGGAGTGTCCTGACGGCAGCGAGGGCATCGAGGATCTCATGTGGGGCCCGTCGGGCGGCCGCTCTGTGGAGCGAGAGCGACTGTACATGGGACGCTCCATTGCGGACCGCTGGTCTGCAGAACGGGACCTGTGGTGATACTCGTGCCTGTCTGGCGCTCCGTAATTCCTGGAGAAACGTGATTGGGGGGGGGAAACAGGTCGGTGTTTAGTGTGGGACAGGTCTGTTGTGTCAGGCTGATGGAGCGCTGAGACTCTTACAGGTCCATGGTTAAGCTGTGTCGATCTTTGGCACTTTGGAAGCAACAAATGTAAGAGTCTAGTTCAACAGTTCAATGCTGGATGTAATAAACTTTTCATTTGGTTTTGTTGCAGAGTTTATAAGACTGAAAGATACATTACAAATTAAAACTGTGGAAGGAAAGAGTGTTCTCGGATTATTCCCAATTTTTTAGTGAAAAAAGAAAAAATCCCATCCATTTTATCCAGAGAGAAAACTTTTTTTTTTTAGAGATAAGGTGCAAATAATTTCATAAAAAAAAAAAAAAAATCCCTATGGAGAAAATGAATGGGAAAAATATTTCTGGAACCAACACTGCTTTAAAAAAACAACACCACTTTTAACACTGTATAATATACAATAATGCACAAGACAACACAGAGACACGTGTAGTGCATGAAAAGTTGCCCAGCATCAGATCACGGATTAATATATTAATAAATAATTACTGAAATAAATGCAGTGACTACACTGGCTGTTTAATAAGAAATGTTAATATACAAATAATAATAAAAGAGATTTATTTTAAAAAGTACTCAAATTAAACATTTTAAAGTGACAGACAAACTGAATAAAAAAAATTGTGTTTTAGTTTTATGCAAATTCTTAAGACTAATTAACTTGTGCAATCCTTAAATCCCGTATGATTTCTATCCCTAAATGAAAGAGAATAAGGAAATGGCTTTGGGATTTTTTTAAGGTGAAGAAATATATTATTTGCATTACAACACTTGCTAAAATTATTTGCATATCATTACTCTAATATATCGAAAGGTCAAAGCAAAGAACTACAAAACGTAAAAATGGTCACGGCATACTTTAAGATCACTTTGTTTAAGATTGTGTGTTCGCGGTTTACTACTGTATGCAACAACAATGCGACGTCTTCACTGTTCTTGGAAAAATTATTTCTTGGTTTAACTAGTGCTGTCAAATCGATTAATAGCAATTAATCACATCTAACATAAAAGTTTGTATGTATAATATATAAATATGTGTGTGTGTGTGTGTGTGTGTATATATAAACTTTTATGTTAGATATGATTAATCGATTTGACAGCACTAGTTTAGACACAAACGTCCCTAAATTTAGTGAGACTTATGCTTTGAACGAGAAAATGTTATTTGCAAATGGGTTAAGAAAATAAACGTAATTTAAAAAAAAATATGGCAAAACCAGTAGCCAATATGAAGACTTCGCACTAGACGTGGGGTTATTCGGTAGTGAAACGGGCCCAGCTCATGACAGGGCAGCAGGGTTGCTCTCGGTGTTGGATATCATCCCATATAATGTCTTCAACTTGAAACAAAAAGGCTGTCGACATTTTAGACGGGCCATAAATGGCTGACCCAAAAAACTGCAGCACCGGTACCCCTCCATGTCACTGTACGCCTCTATGACGGGTCGTCCCAGCAGGACAAGGTAACCTGACCACCGCCCGCAGATTGATGGGACACACACTATTGCCACGGCTGCCAAAAAGACACAGATATTTGGAACTGACTCACATAAACCCTCACAGACTGTGCATTAAACACACTTGCCCTGACGTAGCTACTCTGCAAATGTATGGAAAGAGTGGTGGGTAACCACCTCTCCAGCTCTGTGACAGGAAGACTGGACCCATTCCAGTTCGCTTATAAAGCTAAACGTGGAGTGGAGGATGCAACTCTAACTCTCTTGGACACTGTGACCAGACAGCTGGATTCATTACACACCCACACAAGGATTTTATTTATGGACCTTTCCTCTGCTTTTAATACTGTACACATATATACACTTCTGCAACATCTAGTCGAGCTTCAGGTCCACCCAAAACTGATTTTATGGATTAAGAACTTCTTACAGGACAGACCACAACAGGAGCGTGTGAACGGGTTTAATTCTAGGAAACAGGTTTTAAACACTGGCCTCCCCAAGGATGTGTTTTATCTCCTGCTCTTTTCTCTGTTTACACAAACAATATATCCTGTAACAGGGATGGAATGTTTCTGTTTAAGTGTGCTGATGAATGATATGGCCTTAGTAGCCCACTTGTCTGATACTAAGGCACTGTCTGATTACCATCAGACAGTTAATAATCTGGTCACAACATTCCAAGAAATTTCCCTGGAGTTTAACATCGATAAAACCAAGGAGTTGTGCTGTCAGAGCAGGGAAACCAAAAATACACAGCAAATGTTTCAACCCCTCAGCATCAATGTTCAGCCAGTTGAACAAGTCAATGTTTTTAAATACCTTGGGACAGAGATGGACACATCTCTGTCTTTTTCACAGCACGCAGACACTGTATATAAGAAAGCCCAGGAACCTGGTGAGGAAACGTGAGCAAGGACATTTTAACTAGGGTCTAGCGGTCACTCATTGAATCCATACTCACTTTCAATATCTCAGCCTGGTATAATGCCCTCACCGTCAAGCACAAAACCAAACTTGCACGAATAATAAATCAAGCCAGTAAGATAATAGGCTCCCCCCAAACTCCCTTAACAGAACTTCATACCCGGTCAGTATTGAGGAAAGCCACTACAATCACACAGGAGCCCACACACCCCCTTAAAGGGTTAGTTCACCCAAAAATGAAAATTATGTCATTAATGACTCTCCCTCATGTAAGCCCGTAAGACCTCCGTTCATCTTCGGAACACAGTTTAAGATATTTTAGATTTAGTCCGAGAGCTTTCTGTCCCTCCATTGAAAATGTATGTACGGTATACTGTCCTTGTCCAGAAAGGAAATAAAGACATCATCAAAGTAGTCCATGTGACATCAGTGGGTTAGTTAGAATGTTTTGAAGCATCGAAAATACATTTTGGTCCAAAAATAACAAAAACTACGACTTTATTCAGCATTGTATTGTCTTCCGGTTCTGTTGTGGATCCGCGTTCAGTGACGCTGATGACGTGTATCTGGTGCGCCCGAGCTTCGTTTACAGTCTGAGGGAGACGCACGCTGGAAACAAAACAATCCTTACAAACATGTCTAAGGATTTCCACACAGAGGAAGACTTGCATTTCTTTGCCCAGCCATATTTATTTGAACCCAAATACACGGACGCACCAGATAACACGTCAGCAGCGTCTTACGTCATCAGCGTCACTGAACGCGGATCCACAACAGAACCGGAAGACAATACAATGCTGAATAAAGTCGTAGTTTTTGCTATTTTTGGACCAAAATGTATTTTCGATGCTTCAAAACATTCTAACTAACCCACTGATGTCACATGGACTACTTTGATGATGTCTTTATTTCCTTTCTGGACAAGGACAGTGAGTATACTGTACATCCATTTTCAATGGAGGGACAGAAAGCTCTCGGACTAAATCTAAAACAGGGATAGGCAACGTCGATCCTGGAGTGCCGCTGTCCAGCAGAGTTTAGCTCCAACCCTGATATAAACTCGCCCGCCTTTAGCATTAGTAATCCTGAAGACATTGATTAGCTTGCTCAGGTGTGTTTGATTAGGGTTGGAGCTAAACTCTGCAGGACAGTGGCACTCCAGGATCCACGTTGCCTATCCCTGATCTAAAATATCTTAAACTGTGTTCCGAAGATGAACGGAGGTCTTACGGGCTTGGAACGACATGAGGGCGAGTAATTAATGACATCATTTTCATTTTTGGGTGAACTAACCCTTTAACCAATCCTTTCAGTTAATGCCATCGGGTCGACGCTACAGAGTCCCACTTGCAAGGAAAAACATATAAAAAAAGATCTTTCATTTCCACAGCCATTACTATACTGAACAACCATAGATAGAACACATCACATTTTTGTATTTTGCACATGTCTGTACAGCTAATGATGTGGCTAAATTGTCTTGTGTATCCATGTTTTTGTATGTGTTTTTATGTTATCTGAGCTGGTTTTGTCAAAGACAAATTTCTGTCACTTGTGCCAGACAATAAACATTTTCTTATCTTATCTTATCTCCATCAGGGTTTAAACATTTTTTAAAGTGATAAAAGTAAATAATAAAAACATTACAGATTAATGCACATTACTAGAGATTAACATCTGCTAGACAACTTTTTACACAAAACACCAAGTTAGAGATTATAGACAAACACACATCGATGTGTAGCACTCAAAGCAGTGAAGTACTGTATTTATGTCCATTTTACCTCATTCGTCACTGATTATTAAAACAAAAACCTGAGCTAGCAGCAAAAATAAGTGCTCAGATTCTTTATGATGACCTTATGAGAAAATGATGACGATGCTTTAGGAATGATTCAAAGGCATACAGTAGCTCACCATTCTTACAAAGAGAAGCTTGTTAGGTATAATGGTGTATATATTGTCCAAGCTTTCTTGGGAAATATATACATTTGCAGGGATGGTGCACAATAGGACAAAGGGATGAGGAAATACATGTGCTCTTCCTTCAGCATGTTCCCTTTCAGTCGAGAATGTCAGACGCAGTCGACGTCGACTGAACGGTGATCCCCATTCAGTCGACGTCGACTACGTCCTCCGTTCCCTCCTTCAGGGAACGGTGGGTTGCATACGCAACCAGGACGTTTTTCAGAGTGTTTCCTAGTTTTTTTAGACTTTAAACCTCAGGTTGACATTAATAAATCACCAGTGAACTGATAAAATTGATGTACAGTCATTTTTTCAAATATATACAAAATTACGCCTAAAATGATTACAATGCATTATAATAACTGCTTTAAAATTATTTTTATTTTAAATAACATTTAAATAATTTATTTTTAAATTGGTTAAATTTATATTTGATTATAATATTCGATAATTAAAATAATAATAATGAAATTTAAGTTGGTTTTTAAATGTTTTACTTAAATATTTGTGTAGCTTTAAGTACATTATTCCTGAAATAAACACTTTGTTTATTTCTGTTCTTTAAGCTACAGTCATTTATATTCAATTACAAATATAATTCATTCAACACTGAAAAGTATTGATTGAAAACAAAGCACTAACAATTCATGAAAAAAAGCATTTTGCTAAATATTTGTAAGTTCATGCTTATTAGAGCATCACAGCATTGGCTTAGTAATCTACTAAAGCAAAACTAATAAATATTATTATTCAACTAATTAATATGAATAAATACTAATAAATATTAAACTAATTAATATTACTAAAACATTATGGGTGGATGCTGCATCCACAACAGAAACAAACTACAAAGAAAAAATATTTAGTGCACCTTTAGGAATCTTGTATTTGTATTAATACCAGGACATATGCAGTCAGTGTCAAAATGTCAACATGAGGTTGTTAGGTTTAAGGTTTCTCAATGTCAGAGACCCTCAAGAATGCAGGTTTTCAACTAAACAACAAATCAGTATCAAACTGGTGGCATCTTATGTCATGATTATGAAAGTGCTGTAGTGAAAACCTGGATTTGTTAAAGTTGAGAGGTTTGAGAAACCCTGATGTGTTAGTGAGGGCTTCTAGCAGGGAGAGTAATGAGGACGGATGTCGCTCTACCTGAGTTCCTTCAGCTGACTGTCATGAGGCTGACTGTGTCGGGTTCGAGGTAAGGTGAGAAAATGACTGCAGGCAGATGGAGAGAATATAGATGGAATTTCAGAAGAGAGATGGGAAGATTTGAGGGAAGAGAGGGGATCATGTTTATTTTGGAGCTGATGATGGTGGGATGAACCCAAACTCTTCATGAGGAAGAAATGTGGTTACTGTTCAATGGCACTAACACTCACACGCCCAACTGCATCAGATCATTTTAAAACAGTGTAATTAAAGGGGCCAACAGGATTTTCTTGCACTATACTGATACTCAGCTGTATTAAAAAAATCATTGTTGTTATTATGAATAGTCTGATATTATTATTAATAGGTTACATTATAAGTGCACTTCAGGGAAAAACGACTGCTACAAAATTTAGCTCCTTTAAAGCAAATATACACTCACCGTCCACTTTATTAGGTACACCTGTTCAACTGCTTGTTAAAGCATTTAATCAGCCAATCACAGGAACTCAATGCATTTAGGCATGTAGACATGATCAAGACGATCTCCTGAAGTTCAACTGAGCATCAGAATGGGGAAGAAAGGTGATTTAAGTGACTTTCAACGTGGCATGGTTGTTGGTGCCAGATGGGCTGGTCTGAGTATTTCAGAAACTGCTGATCTACTGGCATTTTCACGTACAACCATCTCTAGGGTCTACAGAGAATGCAACAAGTGAAGCAGAAGAGCATCTCTGAACACACAGCATGTGCCACTCCTGTCAGCTAAGTACAGGAAACTGAAGCAATTCGCACAGGCTCACCGAAATTGCACAATAGAAGATTGGAAAAACATTGCCTGGTCTGATGAGTCTCGATTTCTGCTGCGACATTCAGATGGTTGGGTCAGAATTTGGTGTAAACAACATGAAAGCATGGATCTATCCTGCCTTTATCAACAGTTTAAGCTGCTGCTGGTGTAATGGGCTGGAGGATGTTTTCTTGGCTCACTTTGGGCCTCTTAGTACCAACTGAGCATCGCCACAGACTACCTGAGTAGCTGACCACGTCCATCCCTTTATGACCACAGTGGACCCGTCTTCTGATGACTACTTCCAGCAGGATAACGAACAATGTCACAATGCTTAAATCATCTCAAACTGGTTTCTTGAACATGACTGAGTTCTCTAAACTCATATGGCGTCCACAGTCACCAGATCTCTGCAATAGAGCAGCTTTGAGATGTGGTGGAACTGGAGATTCACATCATGGATGAGCAGCCGCCAAATCTGCAGCAACTGTGTGATGCTATCATGTCAATATGAACTAAAAATCTCTGAGGAATGTTTCCAGGACCTTGTTGAATTTATGCCACGAAGAATTAAGGCATTTCTGAAGGCAAAAGGGGTCCAACCCGGTTCTAGCAAGGTGTACCTAATAAAGTGGCCGGTGAGTGTATATTTCTATTACTATGCCAATTTGCCAATGCTTGCTTACTAGAAACCCTCAATAACATTTTACTAAACATAAGTAATTAAGTAAATAAATACTTGGAAACAAGCTTCCATAGATTGATTAACCTTTTACAAAACATAAATATTATGAATATTAATATTAATAATTAATGACAATGCTTGCTTGCTTACTAGAAAACCCTAAATAATTTTTTTTTACTAAACAAATATTATAGAATATACAAAGTTTGAGAGGTGCATGATCCTTGATATTGATTCGGTAACACTGACACACTGAAACCCTTCAAAACATCAAAACCCTTCAACCACAGTTCAGATGCTTACGAAGAGAAAAGGTTAAGAGAGAAAGATGTGTCTTACCTCTGAGAAGGGGGCATGCTGGGAGACCGTGACCTCGCCCGGTTGATGTCGGCTGACCGAGAGCAATGATTGGACGATAAGACCTGCTCAGGCACAGAGAGGGTGGAGCTCTGGAGGTCCCTGCCGTTCCTATAGTCTGTAACAAAGGAAAGAATTACTGAATTAATCATCTGTGGCAACAAAGATTTTTACTACATGTATTATTGCAAAACTGCTAAACCGTTTAATAATAGCAATTTAATAAGTATATTCCTTCATGCAAAAATGTTTAATCGGTTTGGATTTTTGGATTTAACACAGTCTGTTTTAGATTATATATTGTATGCTTATGTGTGTTTCCGCAATAACTGGTTCTTAAATTGCTGTAAAAGTTGCTTTTTAAAGCCAATATGTTCCAGGCCAGCCATGATTGAACTTAACTCCCATTAAATCAGAAAACGGCTTTCACAACCAAAACCAGAATAATGACTTTTTCCTCATGCAAGAGCTGTCAGCCCACTCAGCCTGATGGCATTTCATTACCCAGCATTCAGTGTGGCCACGCTAAGGTCAGTGCCTCGCATGATTACAAAAGATTGATGTTCAACTGACTGTATCGCACATTAAAACAGGCTGAAGGTAGAACAATGTATCAAAGAGAAGTTTGAGGAGGGGTATTTTGTCTTTCTGACTATTTATAATTTTACTTTTTACTTGGAACTCACAATTGATTCTAATAGAGTTTGATGTTGCTAATGGTGTAATACTCCACTAAATATGTAGCATCCACAAAAGTTGGGTAAAATAGTAATTTATCAATTTTATCAGTAATTAAATAATTATAATAATTAAACATAAGTGCTTTTATTTAACATTTTGGTCTTGCTTTATCTACGAAGGAGATTTTCGATGCTGCCCGGTCAGTAAGATATTTTTTTATGTTTTTGAAACAACATTTCTTATGCTCATCAAGACTAATACAGTAATATGTTGAAATAAATTTCAAATAACGGTTTTAAATTAAACTATTTAAAAAAAATCAATTTTAATACATTTTAAAAAGTAACATTACTGTGATGTCAAAGCTGTATTTTCAGCATCATTATTACTCCAATCTTGTGTCACGTGATCATTCAGAAATCATTCTAATATGCTGATTTGCTGATCACGAAACATTATTATTATTAACAATGTTGAAAACAGTTGTGCTGCTTTACACTTTTGTAGTTCAAAATAACTTTTTTTTTTTTTTAAATATACAGTATGTATAAAAAATATTGTAACATTATAAATGTTTTTATGGTCAGTTTAAAGCATCCTTGCTGAAAAATATATATAATGTAAAAGTATTAAAAGGTATTAATCACCTTCTGTAATATCACCTACAATGTTGTCTAATCAGGCAGCTACAGAGCTACAGTATCTATTACAGTACAAGCAACATTAGTTTGGTCTGTCTGTTCTGAAACACACACACACACACACACACATATGCACAACCTCATTCTGAATGTGACCTCTGTGTGCTCCAGCGCAGAGACTGCATCGGCACCAGTGCATCATGCTGCAATAAATGAACGGCTGCTAAACACAGGGGCCACAAAACAACTACAGCTGCACAGAGTGCATGAAGGGAAAGCAGCGATCTATAATTCCTCTGAATGTTAATCATCTTCTCCCGGCGGAAAGCAATGCATCAGCACTTTACAACCGGCCCGGAGACAGAGCCAAAATCAATGAGAGAGAGAGAGACTGAGAGAGGGTTTCCCTCTCTCACAAAGAGCACGACTGGAATTTTAAAAAGGGTGTGTGGATGTGTGTGTTTCCAGCCTATTTAGACTTTCCTTTCCCATCTGAGATGAACATTTTTTGCACCAGTATTAGGTTGAAAAGTGGTGAAGACACCTATAACATATACTGTATATAGCATACTGTGCATAGCAGGACATTAACCTTTTTGTGTGGAATATGTGCCCCACATCTCTTACTTGATTTATTGAACTGAACTGCTAAAAGTTCAGACATTTTAACACACAGAAGTTGATTAAAAATGAAAAATAGTCACATTTATTTCCGAGATGATAATTGGATGGCACTTGCTGAAATATGTGACAACAATGTGCCAAGACAACATTTCTAACTTTCATCTCAAGTTTTTCAAGTTGCATTTTTTCTAATAGTTTTATTTATGTTTATTTCAGTTAACAATTTTTTTATTTCAAATATTTTAACATTTGGTTACAATAACAACACTAATATGTGGCATTCAGCAAGTAGTGTGTAGTGTAGGAGTATGCATTATGCAATATTTCAAACAGTAGTATGCTACATATATAGTAGTATGCATGCAGTATGCAGTTTATACTATATATGGTATAGAGCAAGCAGTATGTTAGTAGCATATTTAAAAAAAATTGTCAATAGTGTATGGTGTATACTGCACAGTATTCAGTAAGTGATAAGTAAAACAGTATGCATTATGCAACGTTTTTAAACAGTATGCTACATTATTTTTCAAATGACCTCATTACATTGCATGCGAGTAATGTCCAGTTATTATCATTTGGAAATAAATATGGTTCTGTGAGAGTGTGTGCCTTCAAGAGCAAAGAGTGACTTTATATTGAACGAATTTAGCAGTAAATGTCTTCTTCACCTCCATCAGATGGTGTCATTTTCACTGTGTTCCTGCTAACATCTTACCTGACACAACGCCAACACCATCTTCACCGTCATAGTCTGAGAACTCACTGTCACTGATCCTCTGAGACCCTACAGGAGAAAGACAGAGACACAGACAGACAAGTGTTAGTACGGTCTGTACCGAGCCTGGATCATGTGATGTAGCTGTTCTATGAGAATGTGGATTCTGCAGCAAGCAGTGAGGTGTAATGTGAGGATCCTTTCTGCTCTGTAAACCACTATAAACATATATACTTGCTCTGATCCTAAATCTCCTACGTTTGCTTGCTGATATAGATAGATAGATAGATAGATAGATAGATAGATAGATAGATAGATAGATAGATAGATAGATAGATAGATAGATAGATAGATAGATAGATAGATAGACAGACAGACAGACAAGCTTATGAATCTAGACAGACAGATACAATACATAGACACAGACAGATAGATAGACAGACAGACATATATATAGATAGATAGATAGATAGATAGATAGATAGATAGATAGATAGATAGATAGATAGACAGACACACATATAGATAGAAAGATAGATAGACAGACACATATAGATAGATAGACAGACAGACACATATATAGATAGATAGATAGACAGACAGACACATATATAGATAGATAGATAGACATACACACATATAGATAGATAGATAGATAGACAGACACATATATAGATAGATAGATAGATAGATAGATAGATAGATAGATAGATAGATAGATAGATAGATAGATAGATAGATAGATAGATAGATAGATAGACACACATATAGATAGATAGATAGATAGATAGATAGATAGATAGATAGATAGATAGATAGATAGATAGATAGATAGACACATATATAGATAGATAGATAGACAGACAGACAGACAGACAGACATATAGATAGATAGACAGACAGATAGATAAATAGATAGATAGATAGATAGATAGATGATAGATAGATAGATAGATAGATAGATAGATAGATAGATAGATAGATAGATAGATAGATAGATAGATAGATAGATAGATAGATAGATAGATAGATAGATAGATAGACATATAGATAGATAGATAGATAGATAGATAGATAGATAGATAGATAGATAGATAGATAGATAGATAGATAGACAGACATATAGATAGACAGACATATAGACATATAGACATAAAGACAGACATAGATAGATAGATAGATAGATAGATAGATAGATAGATAGATAGATAGATAGATAGATAGATAGATAGACAGACATATATAGATAGACACAGACAGACATATAGATAGACAGACATAAAGATAGACACAGACAGGCTTATGAATCGACAGACAGATAGATAGATAGATAGATAGATAGATAGATAGATAGATAGATAGATAGATAGATAGATAGATAGATAGATAGATAGATAGATAGATAGATAGATAGATAGATAGATAGATAGATAGATAGATAGATAGATAGATAAGCTTATGAATCTAGACAGACAGACAGACAGACAGATACAGTACATAGACAGACAGATAGATAGATAGACAGACAGATAGGCTTATGAATCGATAGATATAGATAGATAGATAGATAGATAGATAGATAGATAGATACACATATAGATAGATAGATAGATAGACAGACATATAGATAGATAGACACAGACAGATAGGCTTATGAATCGATAGATAGACAGACAGACAGACAGACAGACAGATAGATAGATAGATAGATAGATAGATAGATAGATAGATAGATAGATAGATAGATAGACAGACAGACATATAGATATATAGCCAGACATAAAGATAGACACAGACAGGCTTATGAATCGACAGACAGATAGATAGATAGATAGATAGATAGATAGATAGATAGATAGATAGATAGATAGATAGATAGATAGATAGATAGATAGATAGATAGATAGATAGATAGATAGATAGATAGATAGACATATAGATATATAGACAGACATATAGATATATAGACAGACATATAGATAGACAGACAGGCTTATGAATCGATAGATAGATAGATAGATAGATAGATAGATAGATAGATAGATAGATAGATAGATAGATAGATAGATAGATAGATAGATAGATAGATAGATAGATAGATAGATAGATAGATAGATAGATAGATAGATAGATAAGCTTATGAATCTAGACAGACAGACAGACAGACAGACAGATACAGTACATAGACAGACAGATAGATAGATAGACACAGACAGATAGGCTTATGAATCGATAGATATAGATAGATAGATAGATAGATAGATAGATAGATAGATAGATAGATAGATAGATAGATAGATAGATAGATAGACACACATATAGATAGATAGATAGATAGATAGATAGATAGATAGATAGATAGATAGATAGATAGATAGATAGATAGATAGATAGATAGATAGATAGATAGATAGATAGACAGACATACAGATAGACACAGACAGATAGGCTTATGAATCGATAGACAGACAGACAGACAGACAGACAGATAGATAGATAGATAGATAGATAGATAGATAGATAGATAGATAGATAGATAGATAGATAGATAGATAGACATATAGATAGATAGATAGACATATAGATAGATAGACAGACATATAGATATATAGACAGACATAAAGATAGACACAGACAGGCATACAGATAGACACAGACAGATAGGCTTATGAATCGATAGACAGACAGACAGACAGACAGACAGACAGATAGATAGATAGATAGATAGATAGATAGATAGATAGATAGATAGATAGATAGATAGATAGACATATAGATAGATAGATAGACATATAGATAGATAGACAGACATATAGATATATAGACAGACATAAAGATAGACACAGACAGGCTTATGAATCGACAGATAGATAGATAGATAGATAGATAGATAGATAGATAGATAGATAGATAGATAGATAGATAGATAGATAGATAGATAGATAGATAGATAGATAGACATATAGATAGATAGATAGACATATAGATAGATAGACAGACATATAGATATATAGACAGACATAAAGATAGACACAGACAGGCTTATGAATCGACAGATAGATAGATAGATAGATAGATAGATAGATAGATAGATAGATAGATAGATAGATAGATAGATAGATAGATAGATAGATAGATAGATAGATAGATAGATAGATAGATAGATAGATAGATAGATAGATAGATAGATAGATATATAGATATATAGACAGACATATAGATAGGCACAGACAGGCTTATGAATCGACAGATAGATAGATAGATAGATAGATAGATAGATAGATAGATAGATAGATAGATAGATAGATAGATAGATAGATAGATAGATAGATAGATAGATAGATAGATAGAGTTAGTTGCCAAAGCAAGATTTCTAATTTCAGTTTGTTGTTATTTTATTCTAGCAATATTTCATTTTCTTTCAGCTTGATTTTATGATTTGTAATAGTTTCAGCTAACAGAAACATCACTATAGTATTCCTCAAACACTGTCTAGGCAGCAGCGCACTAAGTTTCGGAACAGAACTGACAAACACGGCTGTTCATTCATCTTCCTCTGTGACGTTCATATCAAGAGGTAAAAGAGCCGCACTCAAAATACCTGTCTATTTCAGACCACTTGCAGATAACTGAACATGTCAGTCAGATATCTCTCTCTCTCTCCTCCAAATCCACAAAACAAGAGCGAGGCAGCCTGAGCTTTGTGTTACGTGAGAAAATGGATCTCGTTCTCTCTTTGCTTCAGTCATGAGGAATAAACCGAGCCGAACGCCGTCCCTCAGCCCATAGCGCTGACGTTCGCCGAGTTTGACACTCTGAAGCGATCGCTCCATCACTCAGTTCAGATGGAGAATGAAAGCTAATCTGCCGTTCGCAGAACTACAGCACACCAAACAGACCCGTGTGCTTTAACACAATAAACCTGCTCTCTTTTCCTTCACTCTTTCACAAGCCAGTCTTCCTCTCTCGGGTCTATAAATCAGTCTCTCTTTAAATCGCTAAATCAAGCTCTCGAGTGTCAAAAGAGATTCGCAAATTTAAAAAAGAATCGCATGATGTATTCCCGCGACCCGTCGTGTCTTGCTGTTTTGTTGGGGTTTCGAATAGTTTGTGAGAGTTTTCTTATGCAGTCAGAAGTTGATGGTTGCCATTGTAAATCTTTGTAAGGGATGTCTTATGCTGAAATATGTTAAAAAGACACTTGTTTTGGTGACACTTTTCAGAGCAGTTAGCTAAATGCTTCAAATAAAGAGAAAATAACTGGTATGAATGTGATATGCGATGATTTTTCTTTGCTTCTGTCTCTTTGAATGGTTCAATACAGGTGCTGTAAGTACACAACCACACAACAACAAACAAACAAACAAGAAAACTCACTCTTAAAAGAAAAGAAACAGACTTTTCACACACAGGCGAGTTACACAAAATACAACTTTTTGAGAGATATATTATTTATCACAGCTATAACTAGTAACTATAAAGGGAGGAAGAAATGAAACGACCAGATAGGCCTGGGTTGTATGATGGAAATGACCACAGAATTATATAAATGTGTTAACCAGTAGGGCTACAGTGTTTGCTTTACTGTGTATATATTTCCACGGGACAAACGGAATATGAAATAATGTAAAAAATAGAGAAGGGACATGTTGTGTATGGTCACACTTTTTACAACAGCTTTGAATGTGTCATCCAATTAGAATTTGGCTGAATTATCATTTTTATCATTTTAGTTGTGTTGTTTTCTATGGAAGCCTGTTTATTTATACTCAATGTAATTATGAGATAAAGTTTAAAAAGAAAGAAATAGCTGTGAGATTAAAAAAAATTAAATGTACATACAGTATGACTAATTAATATGCACAGTTCAAAAGTTTGGGGTTAGTGGTATTTTTTTAATAATACTTTAATTCAGCAAGAATCAATTAAATTGATCAAAAGTGACAGTAAAGACTTTTACATTGTTAAAAAAAAAGATTTATTCTTTTTCTTTTGAACTTTCTATTTATCAAAAAATCCTCAAAAAAGAACGTATCATGATTTCCGAAAAAAAAAAAAAATATGAAGCAGCACAACTGTTTTCAACATCGATAATAAAAAGAAATGATTCTTGAGCAGCAAATCAGCATATTAGAATGATTTCTGAAGGATCATGTGACACTGAAGACTGGAGTAATGATGATTAAAATTCAGTTTTGCATCACAGGAATAAATTACATTTTAAAATATATTAAAATAGACTAATTATTTTAGATTCTAATAATGTTTTACAATAATACTGTTTTTACAGAATTTTTGATCAATAAAATGCAGCCTTGGTGAGACTTCTTTTAAAAACATACAAAAATCTTACCAACCCCAAACCTTTGAATTAGTGTATAAACAATTATTTTTGCTGAATTTTAGTCATACCATCCAGCCCTTCTAAAAGTCATAGTAAAAGCAGACAGAAGCCTGTGTTCACTATAGTGTGTGTATGAAGAGGTCAGAGCACTGAGGAGAATCACTATGGAAAAATGTGATGGTGTGGGGAGATGGTCCACTTCGTTCTGCGTGATGCGTTTCATTTTTCACAGGATTAAGAGGGACAGCAGGGTGGATCCAGTATAAAAACACACGGATAAACCCAGAGGATCAGCCTGAGCATGCAGCGGTCATTACCTGTGCTGTACACATACGGGCCTTTGGCTGCAGAAATAACCAGGTCAAAATAAAAAAAAACAATGAATGCAGGACACAAACGCTCATACCAACAGCAGTAATCTTTCAGATTTCAGCTCAGATCACCGAGCGCTTGTGTATGGAGCCCTTAAAGGGACGTGGTGATGGAAGAAATATGAGATGGGAGGGAAAAAATATATTTTGATGCTTCGAACGCAATTTTGTGTTCCCCCAAGAAACCTTGCGTTCGCTTGCAAAACTTCTGTGTTCTTTGCGAGCGGATGCAAAGTTTCTCGGGGGAACGCAAACATTTCGCGAGCAAATGTAAAGTTTTCTCGAGGGAATGCAAAACATTTGCGAGAGAACGTATAAGCATTGGCAAATTGTTTCTCCTCCCATCTCATTTTTTTTTTCCTTCACCATGTCCCTTTAGGAGCTTCGTACTTATGAATATGTGTGGTCTAAGACCCAAAACTTACTTTATGCAAGTATGTATACACAAAAAAACTTTATTTAAAGGGATAGTTCACCCAAAAATGAAAATAAAATGAAAGATGATGTTTTGAAGAATTTTGGTAAGCAAACAGTTGCTGATCGCCACTGACTTAAAAGATATTTTGAAAAATGGCAGTAACCAAACAGTTTCTGGTGTGTTCAACAAAAGAAAGAAACTCAAACAGGTTAAGAACAACTTGAGGGTGAATAAAATGATAGAATTTGTATTTTTGGGTGAACTATCCCTTTAACATTTTTTCATTGTGAAAAAGGCTTTTCAATGTTTTTGGAGTTTGAAGTTCTTAAATCATATATACTCCTCAAAACCTTTCTGTCATACTAGTTCAGAAAAACTAATAAACGAATAACATGGTCTTTAGGAAAACTTATGGCCAAAAAAAACCAAAAAAAAAAAACCAATAAGAATACGATACTTGCATTGTGGCTTAGTTTGATATTTCGGTAACGCTTCCTTTTACAGTTCAGTACTTGCGTGTACTTACAGTGTACTTATCTAGAAAGTACTGGCTAATATAAGGTAAGTACATGGGTTAGGGGTAGGTTCAGGGTTAGTACCTAGTTATTACCCAGTAATTGTAATTACTATAATAAGTACATAGTATGTACATGGGTAAAAGGACTGTAAAAGGAAGCGTAACCGATATTTCTTAGCAGAAATACATATTGTGAATGTTCCATATATTGGCCAAATAACATCTCCAGTTTAATGACAGACATTTAAAGGCAATTCTATCAAGAATGTGTGCTTGCATCCTTGTGTAGAGTACATTTACAGCCAAGGACTTTAGAAAAGACGTTTAGAAACTGCTCTGAGAGAGGAAATCCACATATGATACATACATAAAAAATGCTAAAAAGCTATATAATCTGTAATGAAAATCATCTACTATGCAGCATATGTAATATATAAGAGCAGAAAGTTTTTCTGTGTGCATATAAGATGAGAGAAAGAGACGTACTCTGCAGTCTGCGTGTGGGACTGTCTCCGTGCAGTGCTCGTCTCTGAAGGCAGGGGGAGCTCTTGGGCAGGGGTACCGATGAGACGTCATGCGTTTGCAGCTTATACCAGTGCGGCTCATCGTCCAGCAATGCTGTTTCCAGCTCTATGAGGATCTACACAAACATATGTGTCACATTCACATGCATACATACAACATACATATCCGAGTTCATTCCAATGCATGTCAATGAATCTCTAAATTTGAGATGGTTTGTTTAACAACTAACAACAACTTTGCAAAAGGTCTCTCAACATTATGGCTTATATTACCTACTGTACTGTACAAGTAATGTGTTTTGTCACTTTTGGCCTATTCCGGCAAGTCTAAGTGACTGTTATGGAGAAGAGTGTGAATTTTAATGCAGTAATGCAGTGTATAAGTAAATTAATTAAACTGAAAAGTAATGAGTTACTTTACAAAAAGTAACATCAAAAGTAATCTGATTACATAATGTAATGTGTTACCCCAGCATTGCTGATTGCCATTATGCAGAATTGTTTTTAATTGCTATTATTAATTATTTTAGATTAATTATTAAATGATCCTTAGACTACATCAATAACACATAATATGCATTAAAAATTAAAATTTTGATAAACATTTTTATTATGATGATTACTATTGTTGTTCTTTATACAAACTATTTTGTGATCTAAATGGTCACTAGTCAGTTCTACTATTGTAAGACCAATTTCAGCTTTACAGCCACTAAATGGCACAGAAAAAAGAAAATAAATTGGTAGAGGAACCCTCAACTTCTAAATATTTGAGACCATCTTGTCCTTACCTCTCCCAAGAACTCACTCTCCTCCTCTCTCACCCGGGCCTGGTCCCACAGCGTGATCTCCAGCATGCGTTCCCTGAACTCCCGCCGGTGGACGGGAGAGTACATAAAGGTCTGGTTCCATTTGGGCTCTAGTGATTTCTTTACCGTTTTTGTTCTTCTTTTGCTTTTGTCACTGGAGAAACAATTATTCAAACTGTTTTTATTTACCATCATGGTAAAAGAACCCAGGAACAATCACTGAAATCAACTATGAAGAACAGGGTATAGTGGGAATGTCAAGCAGAACACGGCAGATCTGCTCACAGGCTGTGTTCAGAATGGAATACTGTGATTACTGGATAGTATACACAAAATCTCTGAAATAAGACACGTCATGCAAAAATAAACATACAAACAGCAGTATGCAACATTGTTCTCGCATCACCACACCATGTTGAATGCTTAATTCATTAAGTCGCATTCAGTCTTTATCTAAGAATTCAATATGGTTATTTTTGACAGCATTTTTGATCCAATTTCTTATAAAATTCTGGCATTACAATAATATGATGAGTAAAAAAGTAATGTTGTTACTTCTTCAAGTCAATCGCATTGCATTGTGGGATATAGTATTGCACAGGGTTATTATTGTTGACTATAAAAAAAATACATTTTTATTAGGGCTGTCAAACGATTAATCGCATCCAAAATAAAAGTTTGTGTTTACATAAAATATGTGTGTGTACTGTGTATAATTATTTTGTATATAAATGCACACATGTATATATTTAAGAAAAATATGTTATTTATATATAAAATGTTTGTATTTATATAAAATATACATAGGCTATATTCAGTCTATATACAGTATATACATGCAAATATTTCTTAAATACACATGCATGTGTGGGTATTTATGTATTAAAAATAATTATACACAGTACACACACATATAGTATGTAAACACAAACTTTTATTTTGGATGCGATTAATCGCGATTAATCGTTTGACAGCCCTAATTTTTATTAATTAAGAAAAAGCTGAAATGAAATAAAATACATGAAAAACTTAGAAAAACAATGTTGCTTTGACAACTAACTGAAATACTGTAAGTTGAAAGCACTAAATTACTAACTGTAAATAAATAAAAAACTAACGCTAAAACTACAATAAAAAGAAATATCTCCGTACGTCAGTGCTTTGCATACTGCATATTTTTGCCATACGCATACAGAAACTTTGCATACCGCGTGCACAATATACATATTGCATTAGGTATAAATAGTGTGATTAGTATGGTAGTATGCCATTCTGAACATAGCCATAATGAAATATGTGATGAAAATAAAAAATTTTGCACAGTGAGTGTAATTGGCATAAAAGTAACTGCCCCAATCTCACCTTCTGTCAGGGAGGAAGTAGATCTTCACATAAGGATTGAGTGGTCGGCCGTCCTCCCTTGAAGGCAGGTCCTTAGCGCCCAGTATGGTGACGATAAGCTGATGGCCGACTTTGTCATACCAAAGTTTGACCTGTAGGGGGACAAACACCAGAGCCTGCTTGAGATGAAGAGGGACTTGTGTTCTCAGGCTTCACATCATCACATGCTTCGTTTAAACAAGATGATTGATCGTTTGTATATGCATCCTGTTATTGTACTACACATGCTGAGATGCATGACAGACCAAGCTCAGTACTCAGACAAGTATGGATGTGACAGAAAAATACTTAGAAGTCAGACATACACAGAAACAACACCAACATAACAAATACAACACTAGATCTTTTAAGCCAGAGCCCATACTTGCTTATAGTAAAAGGAAAAAAAAAACTCCAATACAAACACTGCCTGTAAAGTATATTCTGTAGCTATAAATATCTCAGGCCACAGTGTAAAACATGCAATGAAGGGCGTTGTGCATTGTATGTAAAAGAACAAGCCAATGTGTTACAAGGAGAGCTGGGTCAAACAAATTGTACCATTACACAATCCCCAACAGAACCAGCTGTTGCTGTACATTAAGGACGCTAATGTTGTCCAAAATGTCCTAACGTTGGAAATGTTTAAAGCTATAAGCATAATGTTAACATTAACAGCAATGCATTATTTTTTTATGCCCTGATTTTTGCTACAAACATTAAAGGGATCATGACATGAGAAATTAAAATTTCCTTGATCTTTTGTCATATAAGAGGTCTTTGTTTCATTAAATCATCCTGCAAGTTTCAGAGCTTAAACATCCTCCTCATTATAAACAAAGTATTTCTTTAATCAAGCTCTAAAAACGGCTCGTTTTGATACGGTGGGATATATGACGTCACACAGGCAAATATATTTGCATATGACTGCCTCCAGAGCAAGACATCGACGAATAGATATACATCATCGCACTATAGGCCCCGCCCACTGGCGTTCAGTCGCTTATCGGCTGATATTTGCCTACACTGGATGTAAGAGTCGCATCAAAAGCTTATAGAACCCATTAATCACTGGCCCTCTACACTGGATACAGTATACAGATGTGTGTTCAGTTTCTGACGTCCTCCACGCACTTGTGTCTGTCGACAACAGTATAAATGGAAGAGTGAAAGAACATTTGCTTTGATGCAAATTTGCATCTCTGTACAGACTTCAGAAGGACTTCAGAGTCTGAAACAAGTGGATGGTTTATTTTTAATGGCGTCCCGGAGCGTTTCATAACGCTTTGTCATGACGGTTTTATATGGATAATGTTTGCAAAACACTTACTCACATGCATTGCTACGGATGCTGTTAGCCAATCATAACAGTGACCATTTACTGATAAGGTGCCACCCCTTAAAAACAGGTCATTTCAGACAGAGTTCAATGGGGGTTGAAAATCATTTTTCCGCATTTATATTTATTATATAATCCATGTCATGAGCCCTTTAAAATGATTCACATCATGTTTCTTCAGGTACAAATGGTCACAATTTGCTTATTTCACACATATTTGTTCTTGGGAAAAGAAAACAAACAGGTAAAACAGGGACTGTTAAAGGTGCTGTAAAAGATTTGATCCATTTTGCAAACTTGCAGACTTAGAAACAGAAATAGCCCTTTGTCCAAAAACATGCCAGCCAGCCCGATGTCAAAATGATTGACAGGCAGAGAGACTTTCTGATTGGCTAGTTTTCTGACAGGCAAAAAATAAAATAAAAAATTCTGCTGTCACAGAGACATGATTTCTCAGGACACCTATTTCAGTAATATTTCTCAGGTAACAGTGATATTTTCAGTGTATAAAAGCTTACAGCACCTTTAACATGTCCTTTTAGCTGCAACATGAAACTTTCAGTAGTGTTAGTACCGAACAAAAATGTGTTTAGCATGATTAGTATAATTACAAATGTGAAATGCACTTTTTGAATCAGTCAGCATATGAATAAATCTCCAAAACAATTGAGTACACTGAATCAGATCCTTTCTAAAACGGTACATGGATGAGTATCAGGATTCAATGCAGTTTCATGTTACATGGAAAAAGAATCCAATTTTATGTCCCGACAAACTCGGCATCACTAAAACATTTAAAGAGACACAGTACTCCTCTGCCCGGGTAAATGGCGCAGGTGAACGTCTCACGGGGTTAGAGGCATTACATCATTGCTCCATGTCTGCCAACAGTCAGGTGTCTCTTAAAATATTTTTTGTGCTAATTTTATTTGCATGCAGATGATTTATGCCTAAAATATGCATAAAACAGCAACAGCAATGAAGGCATGATAGGTAAGGGGCTCTTCAAATGTGCAATCTAAGATATTAAACAAAGCTGGAAATGCAGCTGTTTTTCTGCTGTGCATTATCCAATGAATTAAAGCAAAAGTGTATTTAGTAAACAGCAACGATTACCTGAACTTTAGGGCTAAAAGGCTCAATTCTTCTACTAAGGCTTTGGCTCTGGGTAAGTAAAGTGAATGAAAAACAATAAAGAGAAATGCAATAAAACTAAAACCTGAAATGACAATACCAGTTGTTAATGCAACACTAAGAGAGCAGAGCAGGAGATTCAACCCAAACATTTTAACACACGGCATTGGAACATTTTGATTTCTTTGACTATTTTCACTATAATGCAATTAACTGCAATCTCTTCCTCAGAGATGGAGGAATTAATGATGAGCTCTAATGCTCAGGACTCGTTCTAGTAGAATATTCTTTTTCTAAATCTTAGGAATGGATATTTCCTGTGCGTTTTCTAGAGCAGCGTTTCCCAAAGTGTGGCCCTCAACCCTCTAAATTGTTTCTTGAGTTCCATGAAAAATCATGTCATACTGAAATGTCATGTCTTTTCTTTTAAAATGACTCAATGGGCATCTCTTCATGGGAAACACTGCTTTTTTACAGTACAATGAATCTCCTTCTCAACAAAATACAAAGTAACAAGATTGTTATTTAACACACAAACACACCATATAATGTTAGAAATGATCGAATTCGATGAGATACAGAACAAGAATATGAGACAACACATTTTTGTATTGATCTTGTTAATGCACAGTTAATTTTGAGACTAGGTGCATTGACCCATATCTTTCTATCTATCTATCTATCTATCTATCTATCTATCTATCTATCTATCTATCTATCTATCTATCTATCTATCTATCTATCTATCTATCTATCCATCCATCCATCCATCCATCCATCCATCCATCCATCCATGCATCCATCCATCCATCCATGCATCCATCCATCCATCCATGCATCCATCCATCCATGCATCCATCCATCCATCCATGCATCCATCCATGCATCCATCCATGCATCCATCCATGCATCCATCCATCCATGCATCCATCCATCCATCCATCCATCCATCCATCCATCCATCCATCCATCCATCCATCCATCCATCCATCCATCCATCCATCCATCCATGCATCCATCCATCCATCCATCCATGCATCCATCCATCCATGCATCCATCCATCCATCCATCCATGCATCCATCCATGCATCCATCCATGCATCCATGCATCCATCCATCCATGCATCCATCCATCCATCCATGCATCCATCCATCCATGCATCCATCCATCCATCCATGCATCCATCCATGCATCCATCCATGCATCCATGCATCCATCCATCCATGCATCCATCCATCCATCCATGCATCCATCCATCCATGCATCCATCCATCCATGCATCCATCCATCCATGCATCCATCCATCCATCCATCCATCATCCATCCATCCATCCATCCATCCATCCATCCATCCATCCATCCATCATCCATCCATCCATCCATCCATCCATCCATCCATCCATCCATCCATCCATCCATCCATCCATCCATCCATCCATCTATCTATCTATCTATCCATTCATTCATTCATCCATCCATCCATCTATCTATCTATCTATCTATCTATCTATCTATCTATCTATCTATCTATCTATCTATCTATCTATCTATCTATCCATCTATCTATCTATCTATCTATCTATCCATTCATCCATCCATCCATCCATCCATGCATCACTTTTCCAATGGCTTTTCCATTTTGGTCAACCATCAAACAGTATTACCTAGGGAATAACTTGCACTTCATTTGTATTGCTTAGATCAAGCAGCTTGTGCACTTTACACCAGTTTGTCATGTTCTACAAGCGTGTCAGGTATTTTTACACACACAAAATGCTGCATGAGGCCTGAATAAGGGATTTTAGTCTGAATAAAATGGACAAGTTGGGCAATTTCGTATATTTTTCACCCTTTTCGCTTCCTGATGAAAACAGGAAGTTTTGTTAGCACAAGTACAGAAAATTAAAGCACAAATCATGTAAATTACCTGTGTAATTGATGTTTTTTAGGTGTTCAAGCACGAAGTGCTGAAAACCTATTGTAATTGTGCTGATTTTTAGGTGTTCAAGCACGAAGTGCTGAAAACCTATTGTAATTGTAAGGATTTTTAGGTGTTCAAGCACGAAGTGCTGAAAACCTATTGTATTTGTACTGATTTTTATTATTATTATTATTATTATTAGGTGTTCAAGCACGAAGTGCTGAAAACCTATTGTAATTGTAAGGATTTTTATTATTATTATTAGGTGTTCAAGCACGAAGTGCTGAAAACCTATTGTATTTGTACTGATTTTTATTATTATTATTATTATTATTATTATTATTCTTCTGCCGTAAAACGCATCGTGCAGAACAAACCGTAAGTGCTGGAGCTCTGAAACTTTGTCAGATGGTAGTACAAAAATCGAGGAGAGCCTCAGAAAGTATGACCCCGATTGGCCTATAGGTGGCGCTACAGCAATCAATTGCGCGAAACTGCTCATAACTCCTAAACCGTATGTCGTAGACTCAAGTGTCTTATATCATTGGAAAGCTGGAGGCCTGAAGAACAAAACCTATATCTCCGATTTCATTTCCGGTATGCAAATTTTTCCGCCATTTTGAATTTTGTCAAAAACCTACTTTTGCGAACTAGTCCCTGGTTTTTCGCCCGATCAAAACCAGACAAATGCATACATGTTCTCTGGAGTCTGAATATCAATAATCATTGAAAAAAAGTTGAATTTTCGATTCACGGTCGCTAGGGGGAGTAAAATGATCGTTGTGGGAGGAGCCTATTTTACTAATATGGCTATAACTCGAGAAGTAAATGAGATATCTTCACCAATCTTGGAACACATGTGTATGAGTTCAATCTGAGGTCACAGTAAAAAAATCGCGTCGACCTAACACTAGGTGGCGCTATAACACACAAAAAACCTAAATCGGGCTATGACCACCTGACCGTTAGTCCGATTGACTTAAAAATTGGTATGCAGTGTCTTGGTCCAAGGTGCCATGTATGTGTATGAGGAAATTGGTGTAACTCAAAAAACATGGCCGCCATCGGCCAATGAATTTGAGCACCTATTACACGAGGTTAACGGAGGCCAATCGGAACGAAACTTGACGGACATGTTTGACTCATGGCCCAAGAGGTCTGTAAGAGTTTTGAAAGAAATTGGCCACTAGTTGGCGCTAACGAGTTTTACGGCTCTGTAATCACGTGGTGTTGCACACATCCCGAAAATATGCATATCATTTGATAGATCTCCTCAGGATGAACAACTTTGCCTCTAGAACCATTGCTGTCAATCAAATCGTTCATTAAATATTCACGAATATGTTAAAAACCTACTTTTGCAAACTAGTCCCTGGATTTTTGCCCGATCGGAACCAGACCAGTCTAGGACAATTCTCTGGACTCTCTAGATCAATAATCATTGAAAAAAAGTTGAACTTTTGCATTTTTCGTATGGCTATAACAGGGTCATTTAGAAAAGGGGCGTGTCAAATACACACAAAAGCCTATAAATCATAAATAAAAACTCAGAACTAAACAAAAATTGGTGAGCATATGTGTCATAACATGGTGAAGAAGCATGCAAAGTTTCATGGAGATCGGACCATAGTTGGCGCTATAACTGTCAAAAAGCTTTAAAACCATACATTTCCAATGGCAAATTGCCTGTATTGGCTGTAAATGCTGATCTCTTAAATGAATGCTCAGATCTTCTTTAAAAAAGGTCAAGAACATGTGTAATATCACTCTGTACGGCATTGAAAAATTTCAGACAAATCAGACAAAATTTGCCTCTATAATTAATTGTCACAGGAAGCCTCAAAACGAAAGTAAAACATTGGGCCACGCCCCCCCAAGCACGAATTCACTCATAACTCGAAAACGGATAGTCTCTGCCCGCTCAAATTTTGATGGTAAGGTCCTCTCGGGGATCTTGATCCAAATCTTTCGTCGCGGGGCGCTAATCTGTGAGAACCCCAACTTGAAACGGCTGTAACTCTTGATCCACACCATCTAGATCCTTGTGGAAGAGCTTGTTGGAAAGGGCTCGTCCTCATCTAGCTTCGATTCGAGTTTGGTGCGATTTGGCCTGGGCATTCCCGAGATATAAGCCCACAAAGATATGCATTTAAACGGACATTACTCCCGACAGCAATCACTCAGCAACACGGGGATGGTCTTGTTCAAGAGGGCTCCTCTAACCCTATCTAAGTTCTGAGTTTCAGATTTTTTCACTTTCTCGTTCCCGAGATATAAGTAAAAAAAAAAAACGAATTTCCTGTCATTCATTTCAACCGTTTATGTAGGCTGTAAAACCGCTGTTGTCCACTAGAGGGAGCAACAGCATTAGATATTTTTAATCTTTTTTAACCAGTTTTCAGCAATGGCTAACAAACAAATGCTTATAATATAATATTAAATAATGATTTATTAGAAAGTTTAATATTTTTACATCACAAATAAATATCTGAAATGCTTAAGGACCACAAAAAGAGATTTTCACAATATCATAACCCACAATTGTGTGTGTGTGTGTGTGTGTGTGTGTTTGTGTGTGTGTGTAAGCATGCATAATGGTATTCACATTGAAAGACTGGTTTGCTTTAGTGCACAATACTCAGGGTTTCTGCAGGGTTTAGTCAGTCAAATTTAAGACCTTTTAAGACCTTTTTATGACCAATATTATTTAAATTTATGACCTACTCGAATTACGAAAAATAACTTCCTTTCAAAAGTCTTTTTTTATTGACTTTCATTAAAAGTAATAAGTTTAATTATTTAAAGGTTCCATTTTCTTAAGAGTAACAAACTGAAGTCTCCCTTTTCCTAAGTATCAATAACACAGGAACAACACAACACTTATCACGATAATATCAGTCAATATCGATAATTATGACGATAAATGTCAATTCTTTATTTCTTTGAACTTTGAAGGCAGATTTTTGTTCCTAACTGAAAGTTGTAGAAACCAGAGCGTTAATTGTGGTTTTAAACTACTCTTTATTGTCAAAACATATCATGACAAACACTTGCCAAACAGGTGAACATTTCACAAATCTGAGGTAGAACATTCAAACATTTGTATT